CACCAGGCGTTGTTGTGGGCATGATTAAGATGATGCTCAGATTTATAGGATAGTCTCTGAACTGTAATGCGGGAGCGGCTGAATAATGTGGTTGTAGAGGCATCCAGTTGAGCTGAAATGACATGGGGGTGCGAGAGAGGTGAAGAAGTGGGAGAACGTGAGTGGTGGGTCATTCTTTCTTACCCAATAGTGAGAGCATGGAGGCTAGGAAACCGCGTAGTCGGCGCTTCGAATAGGCTTTGCTCGTGCCCTCGATCGTATGTGTCGCCCGCTGGGAACTAAGCCGAGCACACGGAATCATTCAGCCCAATCTGAGAAGGCAGCAGGGGAACATGATAAGTATACAGCCTATCGTCATTCTTTACCGACATTGCCCTTCCTCCTCCCTTTCTCATCTGTGCCCGTCACCCTTACCGCCCATTCTCATCATCGGTCTCGACCTCTGCATCGGGCTCGACTGCTGCATTGCAGACTTTCCAAAAAGCAAGTTGACTTGGATTACTTGCTTGACTTGCTTGGTTTAAACCAAGCAAGCAAGTCAAGTAAGAGCTGGGCAGCTAAGCAAGCAAGTCAAGTCAAGATACTTTGCTTGCTTGGCTTACTTGGTTTACTTGGTTGTTTTAGCGTTACTGTGATGAGGGTGCTAAAACTGCTGTACGGTAGATGTCGCGATGGTTTTGAAGTGTTGCAGTTGCCTCGGTTGAGTCCCAAACAGGCTAAGCGGCTATCAAATAACGTTAGCCTTAGTCTAGCGCATTGCTCCAATCTCGACGTACGCCTGTCTAGAAGCCTATCGCAATGCAGTATCCCCTATAGCAACGCGTTTTCCAGTGATTTATACTGCCCTGATACCCCCAATATGGCCAAACGTCGCCTACCACAAACTTCTGCTCGGAGCAAACGTACGAAAGTAGCCGCTGCCACCAACAACGTCGCCTCAACTCCTGAGGCTTCACCTGAGCCTGCATCTAAGCCTGCATCTAAGCCTAGACCTCAGCGTCGATCACCTCGCAAAACCCTAGCTGCCGCAAGCCAGGCTAACGCCTCGCCGCCAATACCTACCTTCGAGTTGCAGTTCTTAGAGTCGCAGGCGGAGGCTGAGATTGTCGCGCCCACCGAGGGCAGCCGAGCTGGCACGGTGGCTACAACTGAGGCTGGAGAGGGTGGTCAGGATGAGACAAACAGCGCACTAGTTGAGAACTTTGACGGCATTGACTGGGCACGTTTACCTGATTTTATCAAGCCATTGGCGCGTTCTAAGCGCCCAAAAAGTTGGATCTTTCAGTATGGCTACCGCGTTGTTGAGCGCCATGCTACATCTCGAATCTGGTTTGTGTGCAAGTACTGCCATGTACACAAAACTATCGACGCTGGCCGTGGTGGTTTGTTTAACATTACTCAGGCTACAACCTCAGCAGCCACCCATCTCAGCCAACCAAAGCCTGGCCACAACCTTACGAAAGATGGCCCAAAGTTAGCGCAGAGAGCTCGAGGCCAGCTGTCGTTGCGGCAAGCTTTTGACGCTGGTTTAGACGTACAACAAAACACTGCTAACGCGTTTGGAAACTTCGACGTAGAGGGCTTTCGAACAGCCACTGTCATGTGGCTTGTTAACCGAAACCACCCGCTCAGCGAACTTACGACGCCTGATTTTAGAGAGATGATGAGATTTGCCAACCCAGAGGCAGAGGCAGCGTTGTGGGTAAGTAATACCAGCGTTTCTACCTTTGTGATGAGGTTGTTCCGGTCTATACGACCGCAAGTTATCGACACCCTGTCAGGCTCAGTAAGCAAAATACACGTAAGCTTTGATGGCTGGACAACAAAGGGTGGTAAACGTGGCTTCTTTGGAGTAGTCGCTCACTTTGCCGACGCAGCTGGAATAATACGAGACTTACCAATCGATCTGCCTGAGCTCGCTGGCGCCCACACCGGTGAGGCTATTGCCAAAGCTATCTCGACGACGCTCTCAGCATACGGAATAACAAGCGACCGATTAGGCTATTTTGTACTCGACAACGCTACCAACAACGACACTGCGATCGCCGCGCTCGCGCGCGAGTACGAATTTGAGTCCGCTCACCGGCGCCTCCGCTGCAGTTGTCACACGCTTAACCTCATCGGCCAGGCTATTATATTTGGCACCAACAAAGACGCCTACGGCAACACTCAAGAGCAGTACAATACCGAGGAGCAGTATATGCGAGAGTGGCGGAAAGATGGCCCTATTGGAGTGCTAGTTGACGTCATCAACTATATCAAAACGCCGCAACAGTACGAGCTTTTTCGTGGCTACCAGCGCCTTGCCAACAACAACCTGCCTGCTGAAGGGCGTCTCAAAGTACTCGAGCCAGTCAAGCCTGTCGTCACTCGCTGGAACTCATACTATGCTGCTTTTGAGCGCGCTACCAAGCTTCAAGCCGCGTATAACTTGTACGCTGAGCATCATATCAATAGGGTTATCCTTGAAGATGCGCACGCTGCGCAGCGGAATAATAAGCGGCCCGACGCCCCAAACTGGATGAGATCAACTGGGCTCCGAGCTGCTGACTGGGCGGTGATTGCAGAGTACCAGGACTGCTTAGAGCCGCTCAAGTACGCCACAAAACGCCTCGAGGGACGCTCTAAGGATGGCAAATACGGCGCAATCTATGAGGTTATACCCGTTTTTGAGTACGTACTCAGCAAGCTTGAGGCCCGGGCGCGCCCGTTCGAGCACGTCGACTTCAACGCTCATGCCGAGGCTCCAGAGGATCACCTCAACGTCAACCTCCGCGCCGCGTGGAGCAAAGCCAACGACTACTACAACAAGCTCGACGACTCGCCCGCTTACTACGCCGCTGTTTGCCTACACCCGTACTACAAGAACTACTGCGATGTGGCGTGGGCAGACAAAGCTGATTGGCTTACTAGTGCCAACGCGTCGTTCCAACAGCTTTGGGCGGCATACAAACCTCAACGAGCACGCCAGCGGTATACAACTGCGCCGAGTAGCAACAACATAGACGAGGCAATTATTGCTATACTTAGCCGCAACAATGACCGAGAGGCTCCACTTGACGAGTTTGAGCGCTGGAAAACACAAGAGCCGCAGTGGACGCAGGAGCAGTACAACGCAGATGGAAATCCTGTCCAATACTGGATACAACTACTGCCGAAATACCCGCATTTAGCGCAGTTTGCAATCGATATCATGACTATCCCAGCATCAAGCAGCGACTGTGAGCGCCTCTTCAGTGAGCTTGGCGACCTTCTTGAACCTAAACGACGTGCTCTGGGCAGTGAGCTACTCGCAGCTCTTCAATTAGTAAGGTCATGGGTGCGAGCTGGTTATAAACCGTACAACTGTAGCGAGGCTAAGCTTTCAGATGAGCAGCTTGTAGGAGATTACAACATACTAGAGTGGAACACTGAGTTTTGGTAATTTGTATGTAGCTTAATCTCTTTGTAGTAGTCAAGTAATCCAAGTACTTGCAAGTAATACAAGCAAGTCAAGCAAGTAAAAAAATCACCCCAAGCAAGTCAAGTAAAGCCTATGTTTGAACCAAGCAAGTCAAGTTTAGAGCGGTGACTTGCTTTACTTGCTTGTTGGAAAGTCTGCTGCATTGATTGTTCGATTGGAGATAATCATCATCATCATTGTCATCAGATGATCTCCGCTTCATCGTTCGCAACATGTGTATAATCTGAGGGCAAGGTTAAGACGCAAGTTGTTAAGTATTATTATGTTGACGTACGGCGGAGAGCTAAAACCTTGGCACGTCCAAGCTTCCTGCACCGTTGCAAGCCTCGTGCGGTGAGTCATACATCACCCTTGCCATTAGACGTTGTGACTCAAGATAGAAAAGCGACGATGATAGTTACAGTAAATACATTATATATTAGATAGAGAATGAGCGCTCTAGAGACGTGCTGTGCTAGGGAAAGGCCGTATCGAACCCCCACTTAGCTCTTGTAAGCAGAGGAAATATTCGATTATATAATGCTGAGGCACGTGCGTAGCACTAGCGGTGCTAGTGGTATCTGATCCAGGTTGAAACTATAACTGATCGCCAGACAGCATGTTAATGAGGGTCAGTAGCTTTTGGCAAGCACCGATCTCTAGGTATATAAACCGTTTGAGGGAATCATAGGCTATCATCGGGCCTTAGGCTTTGCATAAGATGGAACGAACAACGCAAAGGTAGGCCTAACGATGCTATACTTGTTCAAAGCTAACCCTCCTAAGTACCGACATCCTCGATTTTAACCCTGCCTCTCCAAATATTCGGGCGCTTCGGACCTCTTTACGCTCTATACCATCTGAAAATGACAAATATCAAGCGTGCATAGCCATGCAGAACGAAATGCATTCCCAGCGAAGACAATCTGATTGGCTATTCAGGAAACTTAGGGAAGTTATGATAGAAGAGTGCTATCAGTATAGGAATAGCGAGCAGCCGCAGCTAGATGCCGTCTTCAATGCGAAGCAATGGGAGCAGTTTGTCAACATGGCACAATCCAAGATCAGGATAAGTAAGCAGTGCCTCGCTTCGCTTGTTAGGACAGCTGAGTATTGGGGAATGAACAAGGTCCAGTACTATGAGTGGGCGTCAATGGGCGTCAAGTACTGCGATGTGCTGGTCACTGCTGCTTCTCAAAATCCTGTCTGGGAGGAGGCCCGCGTCAAACTAAATCAGCTGCTGTTGAGAAGGATCGCCGAAGGGCGTTTTCTAAGGACGACTGCAAATCCCATTTACCTACTCGATCTAGAGCACCTTATAGCCTGGACAGACAAGACCAACTTTGAGAAGAGAGGCCGCAGAGCGTACACTTTAAAGTATGAGCCGATTACCGAATCCGATCTACCAGTTGGTTATGGGCTTGACCAATTCGGGCTTATTGTAACTGTAGCATCTCAATCAGCCCTATCAGCATGCACAACGACGGAAGTAGAAGCACCAAATCATCTGCACAAAGGCGAGAATGAATTCACGACAACTACAACAGCCCCATCTGACAGTTGTCCTTCTCAACAATGTTCTCGTAGCTGGCAAGCCTTGCAGATTGCGACGTTACTAGGATTTTGTTTGTTGGCGGAATTTTTCTGGTGGCATAGGCAGACATAACTTAGATAACTGAACAGTGCCATATAAGTTAGACTCTGTTTATTCACAAGCGCATGAGAAGCAGTTCTGAAACTATAACTCCCTCTAAGTTAACTTACTCTTACTTCGACATCGCTATTTGTGTGCGTGCCATCCATAACTTTAACCAGGCTGTCTTTCTTTGTACCAGAGATGGCAACAAACAAATCAAACAAACAAATTATTTGATAACTGACCTCTCTGCGGTACGTACACGCTCGCATGGACCAGAATGTGATCAGTTATCAAACAATTTGTTTGTTTGATTTGTTTGTTGCCATCTCTACTTTGTACCCTAGTCTCACGTATGTGATATGGAAGAAGAGATGAAGGACTGAGTTGATTGTATAGCTATGAACGAGGGAAGCTATATATATGTGAGGAATGAGAGAGTGTAGGGATAGCCCTGCTAGCGTGCAACACCTAGCGATCCCCATGTATCTTTGCTTATCCTCAAATGAGTCTATGTTGCAGTACAATGCAGTCAATTAAAGTGTAACCGCGCGAGGCAGTCATCAGAGTATATTGTGTTTTGTTGTTCTTGTGCTGTCATGGCCACCTTATATGTAGCCATAATCAGGGTCTATTTACATGACGTATCTCTGATGCTGGTGAGGGGAGAAGGTGCTCATGGAGGGGAGGGAGGAGCGCCAGGACAACGCACGTGACATGCGCAATACCCTTGCCTCACAAACCGCAACAGTCTAGCTCATCAATGTAGCTTCCCACCAATCTATACCCGCATCTCACACGGCAGAATCATCAAGGCAAGAATACCAAGTAACTTAAAGGCTAGAGTAGTGCGAATGAGCAAAGCGCGGGTTGAGGACGATAAGAGGATACCAGAATCATGGAGAGCACTAGTGGCGAAAATATGGTAGTGGAGAACAAGAACTTAGTATTGGAGTGCTAACTACACGCATAATTATTATCTTTAAGGCGTTCTCATTCTGCAATGATTGGCTAGGATCGTGGCCAGTGGTGTTGCATGTGGTGATTTAGAGCATCCATGTGCTGATTGACAGACAGCTGGGCGTGGAATTTCTTATCACAGGTCTCGCATTCGAACTAAGACTCTCTGTGTCCCTTATCGTCCATGTGCTGGTCTGCCGCGTGCTGGGTATTGAATCGCTTGTCGCAGGTCTCGCATTTGAACTGAGGCTCTCTGTGTCCCTTGTTGTCCATGTGCTGGTCTGCCGCGTGCTGGGTATTGAATCGCTTGTCACAGGTCTCGCATTTGAACTGAGGCTCTCTGTGTCCCTTGTCGTCCATGTGCTGGTCTGCCGCGTGCTGGGTATTGAATCGCTTGTCGCAGGTCTCGCATTTGAACTGAGGCTCTCTGTGTCCCTTGTCGTCCATGTGTTGGTCTGCCGCGTGCTGGGTGTTGAATCGCTTGTCGCAGGTCTCGCATTCGAACTGAGGCTCTCTGTGTCCCTTGTCGTCCATGTGTTGGTCTGCCGCGTGCTGGGTGTTGAATCGCTTGTCGCAGGTCTCGCATTCGAACTGAGGCTCTCTGTGTCCCTTGTCGTCCATGTGCTGATCTGCCGAGCCTTTATTGTTGTTTACTTTCCGTTTCTCTGACGTAATCGAAGGTTCTAGCTGCGCTGTTGTTTGTTCCTGTGGCTTAGTAAGCGACCTGAGTAAACGGGCATCTGGCGAATCGCCGTTCAGACTACTATCTCTCTACCGGGCCCAGCAATCGTTAACTGATAGTTTATGGTCATCTTCTTTGCTGACAACCACGAGCAATAAAGATATCTCCGTAATTTGGGGAGAAAGACGAATTCGGATCTTAGCAGCAACTGCTCCACGGTGTTTAGTGAATGAGGAGCTATTGTGTTTGTAGAGCAATTCAATGTCTCCTGGACTGCTCGTTGTACCCAAAACATATGCAGAAGCGAAACTGAAAGAATTCGAACCACCAACATGTTTTAATCCTCCTCACTCGCAGCCGGCGTGTAATCCAGCTTCTAGCAATGCTCCTACTCCCCAGTCGTGGCTCCCTCGATCACGCGGTCATTTAAATATCGAAACTGATGCCATCATCGGGACACAGATTCAAATCTATGTGGAGGACAAAGTAGTGCACGAAATAGAGAAGATGGCACCGCAGGCCTCGGGTAGTGCGCCTTCTGGCACGAAGTGGGACGGGACAGACTGGCGTTCAACTGGAAATCCTGACTATGTCTGGGTCAATAATGCGTGGAACCACAAGCCAGCTGGCATGCGCTGGGATGGGACAGACTGGCGGTCAACTGGCAATCCTGACTACGTTTGGGTCGCCAGTCAATGGGTCTCCAAAAAAGCTTCAGGACGATGAGGAGGACATTTATAATGAGGTACTGTAAAGTAGCTTGAGTGATGAATGGCACTGGAAAGCACTTAAGTTAGAAGTGCTCGTGTTAGTTACGCTAGCCTTTTTTCAGAGTAGGGCGTTTAGAAGAGACCTTTGCCCCTCACAATCCATCAGCTACATTTGACGAAATGCTGGTGACGGTCACATGCTAGCCATTTTCTAGAGTAGGGTATTTGAGGACACTGGTTAGAAGAGAGTTTACTGCCAGTAATCACTACAGATAGCACATGCTTAATATATGGCATCAAGCGGCACGCACAAGAATATGAAGAGCAGCTAGACGACACCAACTAAAGCCTCAAGAGCAACATCGAACGACCCTAAGCATCCTCTCAGACTATGAGCATATTGCCCACCTCGAAGATGCGCAACCTGGAGTCGCTACTAATCGAGATGCCTTCGCCATCTAGACTGCCATATTGGTCGGCTTGGAGCGCACTGTCAACCTTTAGTAGGAGGCTAGTGTCAAAAACACCGGCGCTACAATTCTTCAAAGCTGACTCAACCCACCACCTCTGCGCTGCACGAGCTCGCTATCCTGGAACATTAACGATACTTTTTCCTTACAGTAACTGTAACGCTCCATCTACGTCTGTGAGACAAGGATCAGTTCCAGCTCACGACAGTTTTTCGTCCTTACACCCCGCAATTTTCTGCCTGTGTTTGCAGCCGTGTGCAGGGATGATGCCGCATACGCTAGTGACTGCACTAATCTATATAAGAAGTTAAGAGTTGTCATGTTGTGTTCATGCCACAAATGCGAAATCTGCTTCTCTAAAACGCCATGCGCTTCATACATCTTGTAAGTTTAGTAGTAATAGTAATACTATTTCTAACATGCAACAGGAGATAAATCACGATGGGCCACTTCTAGATCAGATCCAGGCTGGAATGAGAGAAGAAGAGGCACGATGACTAGTCCTACCAAGATTCTGCTAACTCTTGGCAGTTTATCTCGACAGCGAAAGCTTTTCTGTCCTTACTTGCAAGGGCAGAGCCCGAGTATCTAGAATATGTGCGGCCAAAGCTCCTACCACACAGGCTGTCTTTTGATCGCGGCTCGAATTTCTCTACACAAGCTGCACAGTGTGAGAGCCCATCGCATCTAGCCATGGTTGATATCCAACCGTCCGCTACTTTCCTTCCTACCGGCAGCTCCCAACTAGAAACGGACACTGCATTTGAAGAACACCCCTTATTCCATAGGTCTGCCAGTGTCGATACTGTGATGACGGACCATCGTGTTGAGAACACCGGCGAGGCACTAATAGAACGCTGCAGCGCCTTCAATAATGCAACGCTTCCAGTGTCTATCAGTTCGAGCGAAGGGCTAAACATAATGCCTATAGCTTGCGACCCAACAACGGCATCAAACCATAACATGGACAATATAGCGGAGACTCGAGATACTGCAATGCCTCATGGATACCTGTTTCAACCAGACCCTGCTGACGACGCCCGGTCATGCAGCACCTACTATAGTTGTATTTCACCTTGCCGCATATCCAGCAACGCTCAAAATGGACATAAATTAGGACAAAGTATGATTATATAAGCGCACAATGTTGATGTACTAACTAGCGCTACAGCATTTTCAAGCTCTATATACAGAGATGAAACACTGGACATTTCTGTAGCCCATGACTTAGATGGCCAAGCAGACGCTTCTATGAGCGTTTCAAACCCGTTCCTTTTACCTTCTTACATAAGTTCTGCTTCGACATCGCCGTCACCATCCACCTCTGCCCCTAGCGTATTAGCGGAGCAGCGACTAGGTTATCTTCACCCTAACGTCCAGGATCACAAAGCAAGCATTATTAAGCTTGGCGACAACTTTCTTCGGGAAGACGTGGTGACGTTCTTGAGATCGTTTTGCCGCAGATGGAGCCAGACAGACCTCGGCTATCGCCCCGGCCCAAATAGCTTCGCTGGCGACGATTCCATAATGCAAAGCATGTTTAGGCATTATTACCACGCTGAAGCATTCGGGCGTCGTTCGGATATAGATCGTGTCAAATATCGATTCTCGAGGATCTTACTTTACCACGATTTCGAGGAACTCTGCATCAATATACAGAATAATTTAGAGAGATATAGACCTCTTTCCCGTGGCCAGGATGCAGCCACTATTGCTACAGACAAATTCATCGACGGGCTTGGTAAGGCTTCCGGGGAGGATGTCCTCACACGAACAGAATATCAGCTGCGAGAGAGCTTTCGAAAACACAAGGTGATCGGCAGAAGGTGGTCTATTGTAGCATCACACTTTGGCCTTGGTATCTTCTTAACCTGCAGCCCTAAATTAGAGGCTAAAATGTATGATTCCTATGAGTCTTAATATATCTTTTTCTGACATACCTAGTAATGACCGCAACTTTCCTGAACAAAGGTTCCCAGCTCTCCTTACATACATAACCAATGTATATCCTAGGGGAAGTCAGCTAAGCCGGGAACTTGACCCCTTCGTTTTCTCAATAATTCAAGGAGTTTCGCAGCCCTTATGGCCAACAGCAGCATCTTTAAACTTTGTTAGCTCCTATAGGCAAGAGGACGAGAGCAGCGACGCCGATCTTTCTAAAGAGTGGCTACGAGTCGAAGTACACGATGAGTTTTATCGTATTTTGTAGGATACACATAATGGATTTCGATCAAGCCGATCTGGCTGTTAAGCATAGGTAGATAGAATGATATTGCAGGAGAGTTGCAGAAGGCTACTTCCTAAAGCTCTAGTGATTGGTGCACCTGCCTCTATCGTTGCTATACTGCCTATTCGACTCTCCAAACGTCTGCTACTGGTGGCGATACCTGCTCTTAGCTGCGAGTGCAGGCGCATGTTCAGCGAGCTTGGCGACCTCCTTGAGCCGACGGCAGCAGATCTCACCTCAGTTACTAGCTGCTATACAGTGCTTACGGCAGTGGTATAGGGCTGGTTTTGATCAGGGTAGTAGTATTGCCACAGCAACTCTGACTGATGTTGAGATGGATGCCAGACTTGTCAACAATCAATTAAGTGTGGCTTAGTGATCTCAGATTGAATTGATTGACTTCCTATTTAGGGCTAGCAACTGTTTATATAGGTTTAACTCTTACCTTGTAGGGTTAGCGGCTGGTATTAAGCTTCGGATTGAATTGATTGTTGACAACTGTGATGGATGCTATATACGGATAGTTCTATTGGAATCGCGAGAATGAGTCGTTGGTGTACGCAAACTGTAAACAAGCCAATCAATCAAGGCTTAATCGGCTTGATTATTGACAAGTCTGCTAGAAGCAGTAGGAGCAGCAGTAGGTTTCGAGCAGAGCGCTTCTAGGAGCAGAGCGTTTCTAGGAGCAGTAGGTTTCTAGGAGCAGTAGGTTTCTAGGAGCAGTAGGTTTCTAGGAGCAGTAGGTTTCTAGGAGCAGTAGGTTTCTAGGAGCAGTAGGTTTCTAGGAGCAGAGCGTTTCTAGGAGCAGTAGGTTTCTAGGAGCAGTAGGTTTTTAGGAGCAGAGGGTTTTCAGTAGCAGTAGGTTTCTAGGAGCAGTAGATTTTCAGTAGCAGTAGGTTTCTAGGAGTAGAGTGTTTTTAGGAGCAGGGCGTTTACGGGAGCAGGGCATTTTCAGAAACGCTCTGCTCCTAGAAACCTACTGCTCCTAAAAACACTCTACTCCTAGAAACACTGCGCTCCTGAAAACGCTCTGCTCCTAGAAACGCCCTGCTTCTGTAAATCTGCTGCTTCTAAAAATACTCTAGTCCTAAAAACACTCTAGAAGCCGCGATCTATATTCAGATCAACATAATCCTCGCAATAACGTTAGGTTAGTTATAGGTCTGATAGTGTCTGACTTCAATAAACACCTCAGAAATCAAGCTAGCCAGTCAGGTGACATTGATGATTAATATCAGGTTTGATAGTGTCTGACTTCTGTAAACCCCGCAGAAATTAGGCCAGCCAGCTACTTTGTTAACCTATCTGGGTGCTTAAAAGGAAATTACTGGAACAAAACGTCCCATGTCTAATGGCTGCCAGTCGTGCTGGAGCTGAAGGTGAAACCTCTCATCCTCTTGTTTATATTTATTGACTTCACTCGCTGTAGTAGCTACCATCAAATGAGGGTACAGGACAACCCCCTTCAGTACTGATACGACTAGAGGATCTACTAGTCGACTGATTCGGACGCCTTCCGGGTATCCGTAAAACAAGTACGTCACAAGAATCTCTAAGCCCTTATCCGATAATAACTTAGGACTAGTACTAGAGGCTTCGTTAGCGGGTTAAATAGCATGAAAAGTGTATCTTACACATGAGTTGCTAGTTCATGACTACAAGTTAGAATGATCCCAACCCCGAGATGAGAAGCGACAAAAGACCACCTCTTTCCAACTCTTTTATGCCATGTAAACCTACTTACTCGCTTTCGTTTCGCCTCTTCGCTAGTGCTTTGATTATGGCAACCGTATATTTCCTCTAAGATCATATCATTGGCCACGCTAGCTATACCTGTACCCTGAGAAAGGTAGCTTGATATCCTTGGGTCTTTACTCAAATCGATGCACTTCTGCTTATAGTGGTGGTAGAGAAGGATTCTCGCCATTCTAAGCTTTGCAGGATCAATGGCAGACTCGAATTCGATCTTCTCCGCACAATAGAGACTCTTGAGTATTCTCTCCGTCAACGAGCCTTTGGAAGTTGGATTCTCTTCTGAAAGACGAGACCAGGGATTTTCTAAACTCCACCTACAGCAGAAAAGATCTATGAATTCTTTTGCATCCTTTCGGAAAGATTTATCGCCAATCTCGGCAATACCCTTTAGCAGACTCCGCAACAATCAATCGATTGACATGATTGATTCCTATATAGGTTAAAGAATTACTTCATTAGGCAGCCTTTAACCTAGATAGGAATCAATCATGCCGATCCGATTGATTGTTGCGGAGTCTGCCCTTTAGTCTATCAAAATTTTCCCCGTAGAGATTGCATAACTGAGCATAAGAATGAACCCAATGCGTGACTGTTGCTTCCTCCGGCACTGTGAATTTCGTTTTCATTACTGGACTTTCATGCCGTTCTGAAGAGAACAGAGAGGGTGACAAGGAACCGAATCTTGTCTGAAATGACATGAGTGAAGATCTATTGTCCATAGTGTCGATCGCTTGCGGAATCGCTTTCTCGGAAGCCTCCAAAAAGTCTCCCGCTCTCGAATCCGAGCTTGCCATGGTTCGCGCGTCTCCCCTTGGACTTCTCGTAACGTAGATCCATGATGAGCTAAATGGCTGGTCGCAGGACGGTCACGCAAATCGTAAATATTCGATGTCGATGACTGCACTGCCACACTCTCGCGATGAGATCTGTAGTTGCGCATGTCCAGGTGAGTGCTGCATGGTCGAAGGCCAGTGTCTACAATCGAAAGACTATTGGAACCGTCGAACGACAGCTTGTGTGGTAGGAGCTTTGTTTGGATGGAGCCGAGACACTCACCCTCTACAGATGCAAGAAGAGACAGAAAAGCTTTGCCTGTGTACACAAACTGTCTGGAATCAGCAGGTTTCATATTAGTGATGTTAACCTACGTCTTCTTCCGATTCCCTCATCCTAGCCCACGCATAAGCTAGAAGTGGTTCTTCATCGGTGCATCTCTAATCTGTGTTAGAAATAGTATCCTTGTGAGGCTATAACTGTACATGCCAGGAGTAAAGAGCGCATAACGAGCGGGGCGACAGTTCCGCAGCGATAACAGAGACTAGAAAAGGGCGAGCGCAGCTGAATAAGTACTAAAAAAGCGCGCAGAAAATTGCGGGGTGTATAAAAGGCTCCTCATATTGGCTAAAAAAGATAGTCGGCCAACCCAGCCGATACTGTACATATCGTACTACAGACATTTTCAAGCTTCTGCAAAGGGGCAAGGATTAGCGCCGCGACCCACTTGCTTACTACTCTTGGTATTGAAACCAAAGGTAAATTTCAAGCTATACAGTCGGTTGGCTTGATTCTAATGTGAGTCATCTTGTGAATTTCCGCCTATAAATAATGTTAGCATCTACACCTACTTAGGAGTAGCGCGTTTCATCATTGATTATGTAACAAGAGGATATATATTCGCTTTCTACGATAGTCTCTATCAATAACTAACTTCTTCCTTATTCTCTTTACCTACTTGTTTACATATAAGCGTGTGTCAGCGTGTGGAGCAAACTTAGCGTAATTCTTCAAGACTCACCGCTACAATTTCGAGTACTTATAGCCAGCCTGCGCTTACCTGATTATAATATGCCTGTGGACTGGAGACCAGATAAGCCTCTCCGAGATTTTATCAAAGAAAACAGCCATTCTCGCCAGACGGAGCGGCAGGAGAGGTATCAAGGCAGATTATTCAATGGCAAGAGTCATATCGGGGAACAGACGATCAGAAACAATCAGGGCGATATATACGAAATTGAGGGAAGCCTAGAAGTGCAAAGACTGCTATTCTTAAAACTAGCAGAGCTAGAAAATTGGATGATAGAAAAGGCTGAAAACAGGAGCACATCCTCTATCGAATGTCTTGAGAGCTTAAAGACGGACACAGTTCAAGCAATACAAAAGACTTGGAACTAAAGCAGCAAACCTACCGCTAAAAAACGATTGTTATATCCGTTGCTGTAATATAAGCAAAATTGTATCATAACTAAACTTTCTATGCACAAATCTAAATATCGAATGCTTTAATTTAGATCCTGTCATCTATGATCCTATCTCCTCTTCTTCTTTGCCCTTAGTTGGTCTCCATACGCGAGGCAGTAATCGGAGTAAGTTATATTTTGTAAAGGTTAAGATAGCTACTATTCAAGGAAGCAGAAGGTTAATCTTTTGCTCCGCAACATATTTTGTATATCTTTCTGTTCGTGTTCTGTGTGCTGTCGTGCTCGCCTCTTATAAGGTCGCAGGCAGGGTCTGTTTTCATGACGTATCTATGATACAGTTAAGGGAAGAGACGCTGTTTATCCTAGAGTAAGTAGCACCAGACTACCGCCGCATGGCACACATGATCTGCTTCTCCTAATAACCGCCACAGAAGAAGGCATGCACTAACGTCCATCCCTGTGTAGCGAGAAACCCGCTGTGCCGAGAACGACTAATAAGATCGCAAAGATCGCACAGGCGACCTACAACATGTCTTCTTTCACCGTCTCACAACTCTATTCTGGAGAATTCAATGCTATCATGAGATTGGTGTCCTATGTACATCGCCATGGGAATGGATTAAATTCGCGATTTAACTGATTTCTCGGCATGGCGGGTTTCTCGCTATACAGGGATCGACGTTACTGTAAGCATAACTACACTCAAACAGATTGTTTGCATAGATACAGCTCTAGCTCAATTTGGTGGACTGGCTCGGCACAGGTTCGAGTCTCTCATAATACCATAGAGGCGTCTAGAAGCCTCAGCAACACGAGTGAAATTTTGGCCTACGCCTCTAATAGACGTCAGCTGCATCCCGTTATATGACATGACATCTTACGATCTTTCTTCTGCCAAGACTTGAAGTCTGCGAATGATTTCTGCGTCTTCGGGGTGTTCTTCCATTATGCCGAGTGGAGGAGATGCCGCTAAGGTCCATACTGCCTTGGCCCTCGTCCAATCACTCGTGGTACGCTTCAAGGACAATTTTCCGTCAGTCGTTGTATCCGCTGCTGCAACCGGTTGGTTGAACTCGGTCCTGAAACTTGGGGGTATCGTAGAATCGCGCAAGTACACTATCCAATCGTCTGGCTTTCTGAGGGTAACTAACGTTCTTGCCACCCGCGGTTCTTGCTCTTTAGTAGTCATAGTTCCCTACTTAGCAGAATCTACTTGCTAATGTTGATCAACAACTTGTCGTGTCAGCTGTATATTGAGTAGATACAGTGATTAATTGGAGGCTTCCGAGCACATAACTGTAACGAAGTGAGGTGAAGAAAAGGATTGCGTTGAACTGGCGATCTGAGCTAGGCTGGGCTACATGTATATATGACCTTACTTGAGCTATCCCCAACTTGTACTAGAGTAGCTCCGGCTAAGGCCTTCGACTGTTACAACTCATTATGTGGCTCTTCCCTCCACTTTTCTCTGCAACCCGACAGGCCAGTGGCACAGACAACTGTACGCTTAATCGAAAAGGAATTTTAATCATTAATAAAGGGAGAAGATAGGTGACTGATTAAAGAGGACTAGTGAGATATACGTAGAGAGAATAATGACTGTTGCTTGCTACGCTAGTCCCAGTCCTTTACTAGCTGAATAGTAATAGAAACCATGTCTTGCTATGACCTAAAGATGCCCACTCAGAGTATCAGGGCCATAGAGAGTATAGAAACAGTCATCATGAACAGAACTTTGTACACTAGTGTCTCGTGGTTGTTATCTCTCAAACTCGACGTGGCGGAGAAAGGAACACTAGGCTCGGTAGGCGCGGAGAAAGGAACGCTAGGCTTGGTAGGCGCGGAGAAAGGAACGCTAGGTTCGGTAGGCGCGGAGAAATTTCGGGTTGAATTGGTTCCGTTATCCCATGAGGATAAAGGCAAACGGAGAGATGGGCTGGTGGGGAATAGATGGAATTGCGAACCTGTCGCATCCGTTGCAACCAGGACAATTGTAGAAGTCGTAGTGGTTGTTCCAACGCAGGCCTCGCTGGCAATGTTATTTGTAACATTACTCTCTCGCCGCTGGAACAACGCATCTGAAAATCCAACAAGCACTAAAAAGTACAAGGCTCTCATCGGGGAAGGTTTACTCTTCAACTGTGATACGAGGACTCGTCTTCTCATATGTGTTGGATAAGTGGACTAGTTAAGTGGATAGTTATCCCAATTTATGCAGGATGCTTTTGTTGAGGCCAGCAGAAAGGTGGTGGTCTCTAAATTCTCCACGCGTACTTACCGTACCTACAAATACGACTATATCCATGTATCACAGAAGGACCATTAGAACAGTAACCTTCTCATAGAGCACTAATTTGGAGTCAATCGTCTCCAAAATGCACGTCGAACTCGTCGACCTTGCAGCGACTTATGCAGACGCTAGGTATAAAAGTGTTACGCTTAGTCTAATTTCCGACTTCCAGCGTGCCATATTCACCGTACTCAATAAGAGTGTTCGTATTAAGGACTTTGAACAGTCTGAGGAGCTTAGGGACGAAATGGTCCAGCTGTTCGAGGATGAATAACCAACGAAACCTGCATGGCCATACCTAAACCAATTGGATAAGCAGGATAGGTGTTTTGCTAAGCTATGCTGTAGATTTAAGCATAGAGCAGCGCTCTACAAGTCTCCTTTATGCGAAGAACACTTCGTGTGCAAGAATCACCAGTGCATCATAGCATATAGTTAAGTCATCCTTATACTGTATAGTGTGGCATCTAAATGAACTTTACAATGTGCAGCTATCAGTCATACGATAAAGTTGTCTTACTTATTAATCTGCTTACACTCCGCTCGCCAGTTAGTCAGCGTGTTAAGAGACGACTGCGTATCAGGATGTTGCTCGCCAAGAACCTGCTCGCGTAGCTGACAGCATCTTTCCATTAATGCGAAAGCCTCCCTACTACGATTTTGTGAGTGCAGCGTGAAGGCAAGGTTGGCCATGCTGGACAGTGTGTCGGGATGGTCCGCTCCCAGCTTCGTCTTGCGAGTCTCCATCACTTGCATCTCTAGCTTCTCAGCGTCGTCCCATCGGCCTTGGTTCCTGTATGTCGACGCTAGGTTGGCCATGCTAGTCAGCGTGTCGGGATGGTCCGCTCCTAGCCTCGTCTTGCTTGTCTCCATCACTTGCACCTCTAGCTTCTCAGCGTCGTTCCATCGGCCTTGGTTCCTGTATGTCGACGCTAGGTTGGCCATGCTAGTCAGCGTGTCGGGATGGTCCGCTCCTAGCCTCGTCTTGCTTGTCTCCATCACTTGCACCTCTAGCTTCTCAGCGTCGTTCCATCGGCCTTGGTTCCTGTATGTCGACGCTAGGTTGGCCATGCTAGTCAGCGTGTCGGGGTGGTCCGCTCCTAGCTTCGTTTTGCGAGTCTCCATCACTTGCACAAACAGCTCCTTAGCTTCCTCGTATCGTCCGTCACTATACAAAGTCGTTGCACATTTCCACGCAAGATCCAGTCTCTGTTCGTCGTCATCATCCGCTAGAACGTGCGACAGAGCATACTGGGCATGCGGAAGCAGTCGTCTCCACTTGCTTCTGTTACTGTGTTCGTTGTCAGGGAACACCCGGAGCAGCTGTGTGATAGTGTGTTGAGTCCACTGTCTAAGCTGTCCCCGAAGTTGTAGCCACTTGCGCAGGGCTTGGTGTACCAGTCGATGAAGATCGAGCGCAGACTCAGCCGGTCGCCTAGTGACGAGCGCATACTTGTCAAGTACTTTGATAGCATCTTCTCTTGCTTGCGGTGAGGCTGCTTCTAGAAGCTCGAGCGAAATATCTTTTCGATCTACGCATGCAGCGAGAAAAAGATAATCTGCAGCGAGTGCATTATCATGGCGGACGTGGCTCATGGAGAAGAAAAGTGTAGCAGCGGCGGGATCTGCCACGCCAGGGCCGCTTAGCATACCCTCAGACGAGTCACCGCTATACTCGAGAGCTAGTTCTTCGTGCTCGTCTAGTTGTGTTCGGTACTTCTGTACTGTCATGCCGCTAGTATTCATGCACGCTGCTGCTTGTGCGATGGCAAGAGGCAGATACAGCAACTTCCTTAGCAAGTACTTAGCTTCTTGCTGCTCAGTGTTCGCGAGTGGCCTTGCTAAGCGGGTTTGCAGCATTTTTAGCGCAGTGTCTGGTGTTAGCTCTTGCAGCGCTATGACGTTTTGTGAAGCAAGCGCTTGAGCTGTGTTACTGTTTGTTGTAGTAAAGATGACAGAACAAAGCTTAGACTGCGGCAGACAGTCAGCTAAATCTGTAGCTCCTGTTGTGAACGAACGACTAGATTGTAGAGTAGTGTCTTCAGTGTTGTCGAAGATGAGCAAGCAGTGTCGCGTACTAATCTCTACCACACAGCGTTCTATGATCTGCTTCATGTCCGCCAGGTCATCATCCGACCCTAGGATACTAAGCTTCTGCGCTACACTTGCATACGACTGGTAGAGACTGTCTTTGTCGCTTACGTCCATCCAAAAGACTGAACAGTTCTTGTTGTTATGCCTTGTTCTGTGTGCAGCCTCGAGCGCGAGCTGCGACTTGCCTGTTCCGCCAGGTCCAACGATCGCTATCGTGGTCGTGGTTTGTTCGTTGCTGAAGAGCTTCGCTTCTAGCTTGGCAAGCTGTGACTCTCGACCGACAAAGCGAGGGTTTTGTGAAAACGGGATAATCGATGGTGCGTCACCAGCTGCCTCTACTTCCGCCTGCAGTCTGCGTTGTGCACTCTCCTGTCCTTCGCCATACGCGGTGGGCATAGAGACACCAAGAATCCCAAGCAGGCAGTATACTATGTCTTCCTCTTCCGTTGTTCTCCGATTTTCGGCCCATCGCTTCCGTTCTGATGTAGGAAACCCGTTTAAAGGAGAGTTGCGTAGTGCTGCGAGCGGAATGCCGGTGATGTTGTGTATTAGCTGATCAAGCGATGCTCTGTCGCCTATGTGATGTCTTTCACACGAGAAGAAATCGACTAACACTGGCACAATTAGCTCTTGGAGCGTCCACCCCCGAGTGAACCAATCGCTCGCACGGAATGATGCCTCCCAGTCGCTCTGTTGGACCGGCTCTGTCTTAATCGACACTGATACGTCTGACAAGAAGACGTAGCATCGTATCGCATCCTTGTACCACTGGAACATCGAGTTAATCGCTTTCGAGCGCTCGCGCAAATCCCATCTGTCGATGCAGCAAGTGTCGATCCAGAAGTACTGCAGCTCGTCCTGCGCTGCTTGATTAGCACAGAACTCGAGCTTACGATAGCCTTCTTCCTTCTCCTTGTAGGTTCCGTTCAATATGTCTTCGATAAGGATCTCGGAGTCGCTCCATCTGTGCGACAGAATAGCGTAGGGCGGGATTGTTTTGCCGCGGAAATCTGTCAAGACAGGCCTTCCCAGGGCGTTATAGTGGAGAAGCCGCATAACGTTTGTAGTTTTGGCTTAGCCTAGGAAAGGCGAGGCGCGAACAACTTTAGTGGTGTCGAGAGTAGAAAGGCATAGTCGCGACAGAGCGAAGCAGGCAGAAGAAGCTTACGCCAGGCTGCTGTGAAGGCTGCCTGTGGAGGCAGTGCATGCGACCAGGCTGAGCGGATGCTGGGCACATCGAGCATCCTGCGCCGCCCCGCATCACAACTTGCGCTGGCCAGCGTTCGCTATGCAAAATCGGGAATAAGAGCTGCCTAGGTCGGAGTACTTGAAACTGCAGTTCTTCGCCACAGCGCGCGGCGCAGATGTGTAGATATCTCAGCACGCAGCTGCAGGTTGCCGCGTGCCAAGGAGCTGCTAGTTGCGCACCGGCAGTCAGACATATTCTACGACCTTGCTGTTCGCGCGGAGGAACTGCTGGGGATCCTTACTCCTTACCCTAAATCGACCTTTCGAGGCTGTAGTCTTAATATTTACCATCGTGGCTTTCTTTGCAGCCCACCGAGCTCTACATAGATATGTCCTGTAGCGAACGAACAGGGGCGTGCTACCGTCCGTGCGCATGAAATGAGCCGGGTCGTGTTTTGAGCCACCCAACAACATCAGAATATCACAAAGATAAGGCTGTAGAGCCACCCACAATAGCTATTATCACGAGATTTTGTGGTGTTGTAGTAATTATATCATTGCGATGAACTTGCGCTACTTATATTTACTCGGTACCTTGGTGGTGCGGCCCTGGCGGGTGGTTTGAGTCGGGATAATAGATGTAGCCACCTCGGCTTGTACACGAGGTGCACCATCACCAACACCTTTTTAACGCTTCTGCTTTTGAGTAGAGCTTTGTGAGGCCTTACGCTTGCCGTTTTGGGGTTGTTGTATAGCTTTTTGAGAGTCGCGAGCTGCTTTTCGACGCTCTTTTTCAGCCTTCTCGGCAGCCCGCTCCTTCTCCCGCACCTCCTTGAGTCTCTCTTTCTCAACACGCTTTTTCTCGGCCCCCTGAAGCTTGTAGAGTCGAGATTGTTCCTTCAGGTATCTTGCCTCTGCTTTTTGTGCTTTTTCAAGTTGTTGTTGTTGTTGTCGAGCCGCTTCATCGTCCCGAGCCTGACGGACCTTCTTGGGAGACCAGAAGACGGCTCCACCATGATACTCATGAGGCTTGTTAAGTTGTAGGGTGTAGGACTTCTTTTCCCGTCTCTTTTTGATGCCCATAGCAGCCCTCAGCCCCTTTACTTCCCCCCTAAGGAGGCTTGCTTGGGCAGAGATGTGATGGAGACTTCGGCGAAGCTTTTTGACGTCCTTATTGCTTTGATCTTTCACTGTACGTCGTATAATAGACTCTAATTTGAGCCAATCGTCTCCAGAGAGGCAGGAAGATGAGCTCTCATCTGAATTGTAGCCCGCCTTGGCGAATCTTTTGAGTATAACCTCGGCATTAGGGGGGTGAATACCTGTAGCTTCAAAGGACTTTGTAATCGTTTGAGGCCTAAAAGCAGTACACCAGGCGTTCCAAAAGAGGTGAAAGAAGTCTCCTTTTACTATTGAGAGTAGCCCCTGGCTGTCCTGAAGGTACTTCGTGAGCTCATTTGAGTAGGCGTCCGAGAGAGGCTTGAACAACGATACATCCAGGGGTTGAAGCGTGTGGGTAGCGTGAGGGGGAAAGACGGCGAGGAGTATCTTGTTGTCGTTGCAGAAATTGATAAAGTCCATAGTAACATGAGATCCATAGCCATCAAGGATGAGTAATCGGTACCTAGTGACTCCTGAACGCCTCGTCTCCCTCATAAACACCTCCTTGAGCCAGGCAAGCCCTATATCGTTGTTCGTCCAGCCCGAAGGAGACGAGGATACGAAGACGGAGTGCTTTCCAGCTTCAATAGCATCAACCCATGATGATTGTAGGGTCCCGGCGTCCGATTGGAAGATGAGGGATAGACTCAAAGCTGTACCATCGGCGCAAACGCAAGCTAACACAGTAATCTATTGAGTATTGCCATCTTAAAGGCATGCCCTAACCCCCTTTTGATCATATAACACCTTGTCGAACACGCGTTTTAATCGCCCAAGGCTTCCAATTTGAAACCCCTTTTCATCCATATTGTAGATCTGAGTAGGTTGCACCCTATACTCCATCATTTTGGCATGCAGAAGCTTAAAGTACAAGCTGTATTTAGCCCCTAAATCAGCTTTGTGACGTTTGCGGTCCATCCCAGAGGTGTAGCGCGATGTGAGTTCAGATGGGTGCCTGGCCATAAACCGAGTAACCCAGGTTTCTGAGACGTCCTTTCCAGCCAAAGATGACGCGAAATTGCGTATCATTGTCCTCGTAGGTGGCAAACGTCGCTCGGAGAGCCCCTTGATGTACTGTACAAGCTCCTTCTCCTGTTGTGGGTGTAGCGCGTTATGCGCAACGCTGTGCGGCCTTGTTCGACCTTGGTGTCTTCGGGCGAGCGTAGCCCGGCTTATATTATACTTTTTTGCAACTTCGCGATAACTAAACGATGCGCCTTCTTCACGCGAATCGATATCTTCAATCGCTTTCTGAATCGGGTCCATGGTGGTGGAGTTATGATGCGTTTTGTATGGGTGGTTGGAGTTGAGGGGTGGCTCAAAACACGACCCGGCTCATTTCATGCGCACGGACGGTAGAGAAGAGTCAGGTACAGCGTTGACAAAACGAGCGACAGCACGGTCAACGATGCGCTTTTTTAGCGTCGGAAACTAACGTGCTAGGAGAATAAGAGCTGCAGAATAGATGCGCATTGCATTTGTTTGTATTTAAAGAACAGTAGAGACAATCCGAGGGTCCGGAAGAGAAAGCGTCCCGTTACACCGTGCGTCCCGGCACGCATGGATCGACATTAGGGTACTTGAAGAGTTTCCACAAATTGTTCCTAAAGCTAATGTCGACATTAAGGTGATCACTTGCACAGACCAATTAGAAGATTGCTAAAGTAAGTTACAAGTGACTCTGAAAACCGAGTTTTCTAATAATTATAGTGAATTGAGTTCGTTGCTACCTAGTATGTAGATAGTGAAGAGTTATTCTATCTATTCTATAAAGTAATATTACCGCAAAGGCCCAACTGAGGTCCAACACAGCTTTCATTGGCAACTGCTGCTGGCGGTAGTAGAGTGCATTGGCCTGCTTGAGATGGGGACTGCAGAGAAAAGATGGAGCAATCTTCGATCAGTCCCGATGAATTTGTGCAGCTGCCAATTGCCTGCTGCAATGTAGCTATGTTCCATCCATTCTGAAAGTCTCCATGGTAGCTAGAACCTGGAATCATATAAGTCGAGGTTCGATTAGGAAATGGCTATTCCTACCTGTTTTATCGCCGTTACTAAATAGAAAGTGCCCAGAGATGTTACGAAAGACTGAAGTATCCCAAATCGTTTCAAAGAATAGAGCCGGAATGCGTGTCTCGTAACCTGCGGGACATATACCCTCCATAACAAGATCTGGATAGGCTACGTGAGATTTGTGGTCGTCGGCGTCAAGAGAAACGCCATTCCAGCATGACGGAAACATCAGCTCAAGGCGAAGGCCATCCGCGCAGTTTTTATCAATAAATAACTTATTCGGAAGCAGATGACGGGTTAAAGACCCTTCAGCAGAGCCACCATAGTTCAGGCAATTAAACCCAATAGCTTTTTCGGCGAGCGCTTTCGGTGTTTTTTCAGTTGGACCCCACAAGGATTGTGGTATGTTCGGAGGGGGAGCAAAGGCATTTCGCTTGCCTGCATCACCCGCAATCATTCTAAACCCCAGACTCCGCAACAATCAATCGGATCGGCATGATTGATTCCTATCTAGGTTAAAGGCTGCCTAATGAAGTAATTCTTTAACCTATATAGGAATCAATCATGTCAATCGATTGATTGTTGCGGAGTCTGCTAAACCCTGGTGGAAAAGCCATAATTCTATCTCCAAAAAGAAAATAGTAACTACAGCCTTGTTAACAATAGTTTTAACTATAATACTTACTACTTACATAAGCATTCCACCAATCTGTGGAACAATTTCTATAGTACCGTTTGTGTGGAAAAACATGAGGGGTGGCGTCCAGTAAGCAGACATGTCTTCAAGAACCGCACATGTCGTGCAATTGGACTGAACTAGGCTATCATACGACGAGTATAAATTCAAGTCTAGAGTAGAGATTAGACATTGATCTTCCAAGCTTATGCGCAACGTACTCTGGGCCCCATGCAGCGTGTGTGCGTGTTGGGAAGGGAGTCCCTCAGAGACGATTGGGTCAATTCGAAAAACCCCTAACCGAGAGTAGCACGGGAGCCGCCAAAACGCTCCGACAATCGATGCAAATATGTTCAGAAACAGAATCGAATAGAGACTCATCTCAAAAAGCTACTGAAACGGATGTAAAATTCAACTATTAATCTACTATAAGCACTTAGACACAGACGCCTTTATATAACGTTTCTTGCTACCACTTAAAAGAGAGGACTCCATTTTAAGCCTTTGTTTAAGCGTTCGCCGCCTTCCACTTTGTAAACTGCGCAGGGTAAAGAAGCTGCTGTTGTTCAGTCAAGTCTGCATACGTAACATTTTCTGGTAGCTCAAAAAGTTCCAAAAACTCGTTGTGAAACCGTTGCTTCAACGACATTCCCGGCTTAGCTCCAGTAGGAGCGTGTTCGTGTCGCGTCTCTTGTAGAGGTGTAAGCGGACGGGGTGAGACCGAAGGTTTCATGAGCGCCTCTGGTAGAGGTGTAGGCTGACGGGGTGAGATCGGAGGTTTCATGAGCGTCGGGCTTGCTGACGGTTCAGCAGTGGGATACCGCGACCTGCTCCGGCGGGACACCACTTTTCTCTCCTGAACCAACTCACAAAGTGGCTCAGGCCTGCCTGGCACCCCGCTCATCCACTTTTTCTCAAACTGATTCTCAAGCCTGACTGCAATGTTGTGAAGAGTAATAGACTTTTGCCGGTCGTCATTCCCATCCATGAGAAGTTTTATCGTTGACCTAGTCTCGTGACTGTAACCCGTCACATTTTCGATTTTGTAATTTGCATAGAGCGCGGGATCCAGATAGATAAAGCAGCGGGTGTGAGGTCGTCTTTCTGGGAAATCGGGAGCTAGTACGTCAACCTCGGCGTCATGTCCAACGCCCCTTTTGGAGTCCCAGTACACCAGTAGAATCTTTACTTTGTTGAGTATATTCGGAAGTGCAGTTTTTCTATCTCTATGGAATTGCACGATTTGCTCAACGATGCGGTTGCTGCGTTGGGTAACATCTCTGGTTTCCTCGTATCTGGACCCATCTGGGAGCATTGATTCGAAACGAGCGCTACGAGCATCCGCAGACCCATATCTAACACAGTAGCGAGTTCGAGAGTTCCTCGTAAGGTGACCGAAGGCTTCTTTAGGGTGATTCTGCAGCAAGGACTCTCCATAGGTATTATTAACGTTGACATCCCATGCCATATTGAGATTATCCACAAGCCTATTGGTGGACACTTTTGACTCTTCTGAACCTTCTCTTTTGATCTGTGCATGTCTTGAAGGACTTTCTTGAGCATTTACATTCGTCGTTCTACGGTCTGGTGTGTAGGCTGTCGTATTTTGTTCTGTCGCATATTTTTCTGCCATATCGTTTTCAGTCGCATCATGTTCAGTCGCATTATGTTCGGTCGCATGCTGTTCCGTCACAGCCTGTCCTGTTACGTTTTGGCCTACCGTATCTCCTTCCGTTACTGCGCTAGAATCAGGTATGGGTCCTGTGGTAGTACTCAAATTCGCTTGTGTCATGGCGACATTGTACTTGCTTATTGCCTTCTCTACCGTATCAAGTTTCGCTTCGTCGTCTTTGGTAAACATGCCCTCTTCCTTTTTCTCAAGTAAATCCTCACGTTCTTCTTCCAGCTTTCGAAGTCTTTCGTCATGACCTTCAATGCTAGACTTCTTCTCACTCTGACCCTTTGGATTTCGACTACTGCCGGTGTTCTTCATCTTGACAGGACCCATATTGATGAATATTTCTTGTCAATTCTGAAGGCTAGTTGGATAGAGGCGGATCTTATTTATACCGTGTACAGAGTCGTTTGCAGAACATTAAGAAGAGGTTGCCACTATGTTTTTGCACCCCAGCACTTTCAAGCATCATTTGTCCATCTAATTGACGCCTAAGATAAATATTTTATTTCTTAGTAGTGTCTGGCTACGTAGGTCTCACATTTTTTAGACCTAAGCGTATTCCTCTACGTATCGCATGGCATCCCAAAGGTTCATGTGAAGACTCTATAATGCTGGCCTTAACAACGGCCGAATTGTTGTGCTATCTTTGGAAACAACGTCATGCTAGAATATGTGCGTAAATTAAATATATCCCTCAATCTTTACATCTTTCTAGCAATCGACCCGAGAAGATGTCTTCCTGAGAATACTCAGGAATAGGCGGGCTAGACAAGTACCCGGGTAATAAGGTATCTTTTTTAGCTGGTGGTGGTTTCTTGGCTGGTGGCTTTTCAGGGAGAAAGTCTTCGCTAGTCTTCACTATAGGGACTGGATACGTCGATTTCTAAAACATTAGATAACCACATCCTACAAGAGCTCTGGTGACATACAAGTTGCGTAGAAGATGGTGGCCAGTCTGATCGTGTTGGATCTGAATTGTAGACATATAACTGGCCGTTGTCCTTCTGAATGCATATCCACACTCCTACTTTGTATCGGCTGCTTATCTCATGACCACGGCGAATGAAGTTGTTTTTCCGTTTACGAAACGACTCCTGCTGTAACCTTTTTGAGGCCATAACTATATTTCTTGAACTCGAGTTGACAGACACTGGAGCCACTTATTTATATGGTACGAGCGCGCACTGACCATATTTAACATATATCAGTGGATCCAGACTTTGCATCCAGCATATCCGGATATGGATCCTCTGTCTAACCCTTCTGCTTGGTACTCTATTGTAGCCGTTGCGCTAGTCGTATTCCTTGTTTTATGCTCCATTACCCGCCTAGCCTTTCAATGGCTGGCTTCACGTACAGCAGATGCCATTCTCAAGTATCTGGTTTACTCTACGATGAGCCTCTTTAGGCTACCGAAGTGGCGCTTTTCTGTAAAAGATGTGCTATTCCCTGTGTTATATGTAATTGCCAACGGAGTTTGCATGGGTTGGGGCGTAAAAGCTGCCGAAGAGCTAAGCAACCGGTGCGCTTCGCTGCTTGCAACAAATTTTGTCCTTCTGTTACCTGGAACAAGCATAGGAGCAGATATCCTGCATATATCTTTACGAACCTACCATCAGATGCATAACGTAATTGGTCTGGTGGCTTTGATCGAAGGCTTCATTCATGCTGGACAAAAGCTCACTGCAGTTCAATGGACTGGAGACATAGGCTCAGTAAGCGGAACAGCTGTGAGTGAATTTACACCTATAACTACGGCATGGACTTATGCACTCAGATAGCAGGATGCCTCGGACTGATGAGCGTTGCTTCTCTACCCATCTTCCGTCATCACCTATACGAGATCTTCCGAGTAATTCACTTTGGTTGCTCTACGTCTATATGCATATTACTGTGGCTTCATGTTCCCGAAGCGAATAAGACAGGACGAGTCCAGGTAATTGTGGTTGCGTGTATGTGGGTAGCGACCTACATTCACAGAAATGTCCTGCTCATATATCGTAACTTTTCAGTAAGTAAACCTAGTACTAGCATCCTGATTGAGAACGTTCACCACAGCCTTCTTGTAAAGGTCAATCTTCCTAGGCCCTGGAAAATCAAGCCAGGTCAGTATATATACCTTACTACGATAAGATCCGGATTTTTTTCGATACTTCAGCGCCACCCGTTCATGGTAGCAAATTCGGAATCGGATGGTCACGACTTCCAGTTACGTATTCAGCCTAGAGCAGGCTTCACGAGTCGGCTTCTGACACGGAGCCTTGTTGGAGCAACGCAGCTTCGCGCTTTCGTAGAAGGACCTTACGGACAAGGATTCGACCTGCGAGACTTTGGCACAGTAGTTCTATTTGCTAGTGGGATTGGAATTGTTGGCCATCTTGCATACATTCAAGAGCTCGTACACGACTACCGGCAGTCCAAGACCAAGACAAGGGATCTTCTTCTGATTTGGCACGTGGACAATAAGTACCAGCTGGACTTGGTGTGGGAGTTCATGAACAATGTATTAAGAAGAGACGATCTTCCCACCGCCGCAATGCGCCAAGATACACATGCACTATCCGGAAGCGGAAAGATAGACCGATACTTGGGCGGTAGTAACACCAACGAAAGCCCAGGGGTACGACCCACACCGCATGGAGAGAATGCAAGTGTTGTAACGGGTCGATGCAATGCCACCGAAAGCTAATGCTTTCCAGATTATAGATGTTTACATCTACGGCGACTATGAGATATTAGATCAAACAGGACATGCAGTACCATACAAACGGGCAGGCAGTCGAATCGCTGAGATGAAAGGAAAGCCGGATGTAAGGCAAATTACTAGCGACGTGATCAAGACAGGAGGAGGAAGACTCGCAATCTGTGGTAAGCTTTTTGATTTCTCATCGCTACACTAAATAACCTGAGCAGTGTGCGCACAACACGAAATGAGGCACCAGGCGCGAGAAGTCGTTGCTCATACTAGCCATAAGCAAGTGAGGTATCTAGAGATGGATTTCCAACCATTTGAGCTGAGGGAACATGCTAGCAGAAGAAGGTCCTTGCCGATCCAGTGTCGCGGGATTGAAGCGACTTAGATAGACAACAATTAATCTTATATCCACCCATCCATAGACATAGTAGTGTTTTTTGGACTCGTAAATGCTTTGTAAGGCGCGATAAAGGCATTGAATGCCTTCTCTTGATCGTGATGAAGTTGGTCCATCGCATCCACAACCGCTTTAGAAAGGTCTCGGATTTCGTCGAAAGCCTTTTCTTCGAGTAAGCCGACAATACACGCGCGTAGTAAATCTTGGGAAATTTCGGCAATCTTTTCCTTAAACTTCTCTGTATGCCGATAGGATTCTCGATAATATGTAAGCTCCCACCTAAGCTCTCCATTTCTTCGATTAAGGAAATCGATATAGTGAGTCACATCCTCGGATTGCTTTGACTTTTGCATGTGGTGAGGTTCCATTTCTATCGCTATTGTCTGGCCCCCATAGCATCTTACGATGTGGTCGATATCATTAGCTTCTAGTGGCCTTCGGCGAGGCGGCTGTCTCACAGAAGGATCCATGGTCAAGGGTGAAACTGTCCGGGGAGAGCGGGTCTTAAGTTTGCGAGATAATTATAGGCAAAAAGGTGCGGTCGGGGTTTTTATATTAAGCCTGTAGCACACGCTTAGCTCGCCGACCATCGGTAGATATGGCTTCTAGACGACTAACTATCTTTCCGAGAACAGGGGATGACGTAGACAACGCCAGCTCCATTAACGGCAAGGGTGATTCTGTTGCACTTAGTGCCCCAAAGCGAAAGTTTCGTAGTGAAAATAGGCCGGTAGACCTTAAGCTCCCGAAGCTTACACCAACTCTTCGAGTGAATCGCAAAATCTTCACGCCACTTAATGAAGATCCTGGAAAACACTATCGGTGCATACACAGCGTGGATCCGGGAAGGGGAGAGATCCTATTGTCTAGCCCAGGAAATCACCTCAGATGCTACTAAGCATGCTTATCGGGTCGTGATGATTCGACGTAGCCTAGACAAACCCGTTGTTGGCCTAGACAAACCGAACCCGAATCTTCTCAATATCGTGTGCGTCTTCCGGTTCCAGGATTCCCTATTCACCGTATTTGATAGACCCGGCTTTCCATTGTCTGAGATTGCTGTGTCTCATTCTCCACGGCTAGGACTGGCTGAGGTGAAAACAATAAGCACAGAGGTAGGGCTATCGAACGTACACTTATTCTCGTGGTAACGATAGACTAGGCAATTGCTGGTATCTGCGCTCTAAGCGCTGCAGGTCTTTACTTGTCTTCAATTAATGTAGAAGATCTCACAATCTCAGCAAGCGATGGTCAAGTCAAAGTTGGTAAGTATCGAACGCTTCTTAGAGGCTTTCCCAACTGCTGAACAACAGTAAGCATTAGATCGAGTATCCTTGCAAGAAGAAATGGCAGATGAGGAGGCTTCTGCCTTTGGAATTATGCTAGATGACTTGATATCCCGTGTTCCAGGTCCTTCAACCCTACAGCAAAGCGACGATCTCCTTGCTTTTATACGATACACTAGCCAAACGACATATCTAGAACTGCAGAAGGTATCTTTCCTTCTTAAAATGTTAGTGCAGCACTAAGATGTTGTAGGACAGTTTTCTAAAAGACTCGTTACCTGCACCGTCGCTGGTTCCTTTTGTACTAAATGCGCAAATTATAGTATTTCCGGTCGAGCATGTAACAGAGACTGAAATTAGCAGGTTGAGGATTTCAGGAGGCTAAATATAGAGTATTTTGTAACTATAGATTGTAACGGTGTGAGGAGAGGAGGAGGACTGCGTTTTATTGTATAGCTATGAAGGAGGGCAGCTCTATATATGTGTGTGTGATAAAGTGTGGTATCGATAGGCGTACCTAACTCTCACCCCGTACCTAACTCTCACCCGATTGGGTCTTGGCAAGGTCCAAACCGTTACATAGATGCTCAAATGTATTACTATCAAAAACCTTCTTAGTTCTTCACAACTGACGTCTTTCCTCGCCTTGGTTTCTTCCGCTGCCCGTCTTCGGCAGCAAGTTCGAGAGCCTTGTTCAGGCTTGCAACCTCACTCTTCCCATCTTTGACTTGTTGGGACAGAGTCTCAACTTGCTTGGAAAGCTCCGTGTTGCGTTTCTGGAAATCCGAGTTCTGATTTATAACGTAACTTAACTCGGTGAACTGTTCATCTCCCGAATGCTGACTAGAAACTGCCTTTACAAGCAGTGCGTTTTTGGCTGACTCTAGAATCAACCCGCTAATGCTTTGGCCAACATATAATCCCTCGACTTCGCCTCCAGCATACATGGGCAGCTTAACGCGTTTGCGTAAAACGTTTTAGCTTAAAACGTTTTAAAACGCTTTAACAGCTTAAACTGTTCACGCGTTTAAGAAAATCCTTAAACGCGTGAACGATTTAAAAACGCTATAAGAGGCTTGGCGCCAAGCACCCCACCTTTGCATCTCAAAAACTCTGCAACCACTCCCCACTAACCTGAAATCTCAACAAATCCATTATCTATAGCATCTATTATCGTTATGTCATCGAATACCTTGTCAGCAAGTGCGATATCAACGCCACCGTCGCGAAGACCCGCAACGCCGCCACACTTTGACGCTGTTATACGAACCGAAACTGTCTGTAACACCAGCAATGCAAAGCGCCAGCGTTTGAAAAAGCAGTATGTGTGCAAACGCTGTCGCTCATGGTTTAGCAGTCACCGAGTAAACTCTATCCACCATGTTCTAGCATATCATACAACGTCAGAGTCTTCTCAGCCCTCGCAAACTTCTTCTTCGTCGTCGCAACCAGCTATCACTTCAGTGTTTAGGACTGTCTCTGATCAGACAATTATCCGCAACGCCTTCAATGAACAAGGGTATCGCGATGCGCTTGTCGGTCTTCTGACTCGACGTCGAATAGCCTTTTCATCAATCGAATGGTCTGAAATGAGGGATCTAGCGCTTGCTTGCAATCCATTTATTGAAGACCAGCTTATCACAAGTCGACGTACAGCCGTACGTCTTATCGCCTCGAATTATCAGCTTTATAAAGGCCATGTAATTAAAGGCAGCTTATCGACGGCTGTGAGTCCTATCCACATATCAACAGATCTCTGGACATCACCGTTCCGTTCATCTCTCCTTGCTGTATGCGCACAGTGGGTCGATCACGAATATAAGCTTCAGAAGGCTCTTTTAGGACTGCCAGAATGTCGTTACAGCCACTCTGGAGAACAGCAAGCACACTTACTTCTTCAAACCCTCGAGGAATATGGGATACAGTCTAGAGTTGGCTGGCATACGGGTGATAACGCAACATCTAACGATACCTGTTTGGAGCATCTTGAAACCCTCCTTCGAACTAAGCACAACGTAAGCATGGCTTTTAATATAAAAATCGGCCTTCGCTGCTTAAGTTACGCGATGGTGCTAATATTAACAAGGTTAAATTTACTGCTAAAGAGCGCCGTATCCGATGTATCGGTCATATTATCAATTTATCCTTGCAGGCATTCCTGCTTGCATCCTCTAAGGAGGCTCTTACCGCTGCTCTCGACGCCGTAACGGATGTTATGGGGGAAGAGCTTCTCGCAGAGTTTTCAAGCGTTCTTACTTCTCGACAGAGAAACCCTAGAGCCCAAGCCCAAGCTGTTCCACAAACCTCACAGAGACAAAGGTTGTCTCGCCGAAGACGCAGCGTTGATAGCCATGGGTCTGTTGATGAGGACTTTTGTGGTATTGAGAACATCTCTACACTACGCAAATTACATCAACTATGTGTCTGGCTGCGCAACTCAAGTATACATGCAGCAGAGTGGGATCGCAAGGTAGGCCTCCGCTTAGGGATTGACAATCAGACTCGGTGGTCTTCATGGTACTCAGTTATGGATCGGGCTATTAAGAAGATGGCTGCAATTAAGGTCTTTATGCACGATAACGAGAAACACCTTAACGAGATCCGTCTTACTTCTGACGACTGGGATATACTACAAAAAGCACATACATTTTTACAACCATTTGCATCAGCAACGCTATACGCGGAGGGAGATAAATCGTCTATCTCTCAATCTCTTTTGATTATGGACTCTCTTTTAGTCCACTATGAGCAGCAAAAGGTAAGCATTAACGTGTTATCCGAACTTTAAGTCTTCGGTTAACAGCTTTATAGATACATTACTCTAAAGATGAAAATGAGGACCTTCGCATGGTTCGATCGATCGAGATGGGCTGGTTCGTACTTGAGAAGTACTACAACATGACTGATCAGGTTCCGGTGTACGCTTCCGCTATTCTTCTAAATCCCGCAAGTAGAGCAGCATATCTCAAGAAGAACTGGCCAGCCGAATGGTACGAACCAGCTATTAACGCTGCTCAAAACTTTTGGGTGAATGAGTTTAAGGACGCTTTGCCTTTAGCTAGCCCTACAGCTTCTCAACAAATGGCTCCTCCTTTAAAGCAACGCGGTGCCGTTCTCGATCAGATTCTACAACAGATGTCAGTTGCGGCGGCAGATCAATCAAACAGCGACGATCTTAAAATTTTCGCAGAAAGTCCAGTAATACAAATCGACTGTAGCCCTCTTGAATGGTGGTGCCGATCGGAGCAACGGCAGCGCTACCCTAGGCTAAGCAACATGGCTATCTCTATTCTTTCTATCGCTGCAGAGTCGTCCGAGCCAGAGAGAACATTCTCAGGTGCAAGAAGAACCTGTTCATGGGATCGGTCGAGGCTCACTTGCGACAACATTGAGAAGATCGAGTGCATTGGCAGTTGGCTTAGGGAAGGCCACATAAAACCGTGTTCTCTCAACGGAATGGGTCTACCAATGGAACCAGAGCAAGATGACGAAGCAGAGATGATAAGGGATGAGGTAGAGGAGATTCTAGAATGGACATAACCCGGTCTTGGCATGATGTATCTTATATCGTTTTTATATCGTTTATATCGTTAAACGCTTTAACGTTATAAGGATTTTTGCTTAAACGCGTTAACGTTTTAAGGTTTGCCAAAACGATTTAAAAACGATTTGCCCATGTATGGCCTCCAGCCAACCTGGTTCGACAGTTGTTCATCAGACTTTCGGCTTTCTTAGCAACCTCGTCGGCGAACATTTTCGAGTCTTTTACGGATTGGTTGAGCATTTCATGTTCCTTTTGAAGCTTGTAGTGACACGCTTGCAGCTCCATGAGTTGCTGGTTGAGGAGTTCACTTGTGTCCCGTTCCCGTTGTAGTTCTTGCTCTGTCGTGACGATTTGGCGTCGTGCATTTCCAACTTCGTTTTGAGTCGCTTGAAGGTGGCGATGTGCATTTTGCAGCTGCGCTAGGTTGTGATGGTACAAATTACTCATGTATACCGCAGCTTGGACACAGCATTGCTGGTGGCGAGGCTCTATGCTTCCCTGATGTCTGAAGTCAATGATAAGTACATTAATAGAATAGTCAAAATACCTCTGATGCCTGATGCGACTGTGAATGACTCATTGCTGCGGGATTCAGCGAGAGGCTTCTTTGGATGTGGGAAGTACCAGGGCGAGAACTGGACTAAATACTGTATTGGTAGAGAGTTTTGCCATTTTATCGCAAAGGATCAGGGAGAATGGGGAAGCGTACACGACTGCAGAAAAAAAAAGGCGGCACTGCGTCAGGAGACTGCTCCACGCCACCAGAGTTGCTATCAGTCAGTTCAGTCAGTCCGGAGCTCTCTGGACTGACTGAACTGACGTCCTGAGGTCACTGAACTGGACTGGACTGACTGCCAAGACTTTTCAATTAAACTAAAACTGACTGACTGAACTGACGTCGCCGCGGCCTGCGGACTGACTGGACTGACTGAACTGAGTTACCTGACGTCGAACTGAGATAAATGCTCCTGTACTTTTGAGATTTCTTCCTCTGATAGTGTGCGCGCTAGCCCAGAAGCTGAGGTAGTTGTTGGCTGTATACCAAGCCTCTTCCAGCTCTTCAAGCTCTGCAAAGCTGAAATAAGCTCTGGCTTCATATGGAGTCTCCGGGTGCCTAACATGTCGCCAAGCTCGCTGAAAGTCCGCTCACAGTCTGCCGCTGCTGCTGGTATTGTTAGGACGTCAATAGCGAACTTTGAGAGTATAGGGAACTGCCCAGCAACTGACTCCCAGTATAGAAGCGGATTAAGAGACAGCCAATCCTCCTCAGCTAACGCTGGTTGCCGCTTCCATATCTCATACTCATCCTCAGCAAGGCTTGCCTCTAACTGCCGTGTGCTTTGCTCAATTGACGACTGTAGAAAAGCTGATCGCGACGTTGAAATCCCTAGCCGGGGCTTCTTACGCGGCGGCGTTACAGTGTGAGCTGAAGTGGCTGCAGAGTCCTTCCGCCCCTGCCACATGCGCAGGAATGCCCGGTGGTTATTGTCAAGCCAGCCGTCGCGATAGTGGACACCGTCACGGGCAGTGACATGGGTGTCAGGCACCTTCCAGAGCGCTGAGAGGTGGTGTTTGTAGTGCGGGTGTAGTATTGTAGCAGTGTAGTAGACAGGCGCGTTATCGAATTTTGCGTAGTACTCAGCAAGCTTACAATGCGCAAGGTTAACGTTTGTAATAAGATGATCTTCAGGCGCATCTAGATCTTCGTAATTTACATCCTTAAGGCGGTCTTTGAGAGCCTCAAGCTGGTCAAGAAGCCACTCAAACGTTACTAGAACTTCCCATATAGCGCCGTGTCGGCCGTGTCGGCCGCGACCTTCAAGTAGCCGTGTAGCTTCGGCAAATGGCTCAAGGAGTCGAATGTATTCTGTTATTGTCGCCCAGTCCTTGCCGTTTAGACCCCCTTCGCGTATATATAACCGTGGCTGGGCAGCAGGGAGCTGCTCACGATTCTTCCGGCGTCGTGAGGTTGCTGTTGCAGCACTATGCTCCTCAAGTTTACACTCAATATAGCCATCGATAGGGCCGTGTAGCTCAGCTGCACGGACAAACGTGTTGAAATAGCTATTCCAGCGTGTCTTAACAGGCTTCACAAGCTGCCGGATGTGGGGTGTAACACCTAGAGACTCTGCCTCCTCGCACTGTAGGCGCTCTAGTAGTTGTCGAGTTTGAGGCGTACAGATAGACGCAATCACGTCAAAGAGGACGCCAACAGGACCGTATTTGCGCCACTCATCCATGTACTTCTCCTCTTCCTCAAGGTGTGCGGCTTCATTCTCGTACGCGCTACGGTCTTTGCCCCAAATTACTAATTGTGCGCTTAGGTTGAGTATATGGCAGCAGCACCGCAGCCGCCGCTCGCTTGCGATAAAGCCAAACTCCTCTGCTAAGGACTCAACTGCAGTATCATTGTTACTTGCGTTGTCAAGCACAAAGTACCCAACCCTCGCGTTGTCAACGCCAAATAGCCGAAGTATTGTTGTTGCTGCAGCGGCAATATTATTGCCAGTGTGCGCCCCGTGTAGCTCAGGCAACCCAAGCAGGTGGTCAACTAGCTTGCCCTCGCTGTTAAGGTAATGTACGCAGAGGCCAGTAAAAGCATACTGCCCACCAGTTGAAGTCCAGTTGTCGAATGACACGTGTATAAGCGACCGGGCTTCGCGAAGGTAGTTGGCAACAGCTGGTATGTATGTATTGTACTCAGTAATAATATGATCGTGGAGCGTTTGGTGGCTACGCCAAAGGAGAGCTTCGGCTAGCGGGCTCACGGCCGCAATCATGGCTCGAAACTGCGGCGTTTCTATTACGCGAAGGCTCTGGTTGTCCGCGACTACCCAGTCCTTCAGCGCGTCCTGAAATCGAGAGGTTGAAAAGCTTGCTGCCATCTCGTTTGCTACCTCTTGCGATACTTCTATCCCTTTAGACCTCATAATATGTACTTGGGACTTTGCGAGCGCGCCCATAATATTGCCCTCCCGGCTAGCAATTGGTACAGGTCCGTTAGGTCCGTGTGAGTGTCCAGGCTTGTTGCTTGAGAGGTGTCGGCCGGCGTTTGTAGTGCTGTCAGCCTCGTAGCAAGCCTCCTGCTTCCGTCGTTGATGGCAGTACCGGCAAAGCCAGTAGTTTTTCTTGTACTTGCGGTGCCAGACGGCCCAGCCGTGGCGGTAGATCCAGCTTTTTGGCCCACCGCGACTATTACGCTCAACCTGGCGCCGCTCAAGATACGGCACACGCTTAAAATCAAGCCCGTCGTAATTGTCGTCGTCGTCGTCGTCGTCGTTGGGGAAGTCCGCCTGTACTGCCAAGGGCTCATCAGCCTGGGCCTCGCTCGCAGTATCGCCAACAGTAGGCGCGTTTGATAGCGATGGTAGAGGAGAATTGCGCTTGTCGCATTCTACAAGGCGGCGAAGGCCTGAATTAGAGGGAGTAGACATGAAGTACACCAAGAAGTATTATGGCAACAGTAGTCTAGCGTCGTGTGTATAGCAGACGCGACGCGACGCGACGCGAAAGGCTTACTAGGTGCGCACCGGGTAGCGCATTTCCGCAAACTCTAATTAGCTTAAAGCTAGATGCTTTAACTTATATAGGATTAGTGTCTTTATATCTAGGACTAGCGCGGCTTCGAAGCCGCACTAAATGTGGCTTTCACAACTCTAAAATACTGCTTTAAAAACAGCTAACGTCAGTCTAACGTCAGTCAGTTCAGTCAGTCTGGAGGCTTCTGAACTGACTGGACTGACGTCCAGCTGCCTCAAGAACTGACTGACTGAACTGAGTCTTGGCAGTCAGTTCAGTCAGTTCGAACTGAGTTACCTGACTGATAGCAAGTCTGCTAGCATATACAGGTTACGCTGCTACGGGATCCTAAGGGTGGCCCTTATCGAGTATTGCTAGAGTTCACCTTCAAATTCACTAAGGAGTTCCTCGGTATTAAAGACTTATACGTAATTATTCTATGCTAGAACTTATACGCCTGCTGACTTTTCTCTAAGGAATACCTTCCCTCTCCCTAAAATTATGTACGATGAGACGCTCCTCTACAGTCCGTAAGTCTTCCTTCTTAGCTTGCTCTTCTGCGATCGGGCATTTGCAGCCTACAACCTAACCTCCCTAGAGGAACTAAGCAGGCTGACAATTCCGCTAGGCCGCAACGAGCTGCCATTACGCCTGAATCGGATGTTAGATGATATTCCCGTGTTTCGGAAAGCGGTACGGACCCTGCATGGTTGGGACATATCTCCTAACGAGCCTCTTCCCTACTCCACCCTGCTGCCGTGGATCCGGACTTTGGGCGAGGTAACGGGGTTTGCTCAAGTTACCCGCCCTTATTCCCTAAGATATGCCGGAGGAAAGGCGTTTAATGAGAACGGTAAGTTCTGTAATCTTTTCTATGCAAGGTGTATGATGCAGGATGCAGAATTAACGTAGTGGGTAGGCAACGTTAGTGAGGCTATGCAGAACCTGATGATGGGCCATGCTAGCATATCGACCTTCTTAAAGCATTATCTGTCACGACGTATTACGGTTGACACGCAGGCTGTCGTGCGAGGCATCCAGCCCCAGGCAGCCCTTATGCGGGCGGCTTGTACTATGAGTCGTTCGATTGATCGTCGTCGGCCACGACGACTCACACAAGAACAGTCTGCATCTGTGGACGATGATCCTTCCATTCGTTCCCTGCTTAACCGACGAGAGTAACTCAAACGTACGGTTCCTAATGCAACAAAACATCCTAAGTACAAAGCGCTTGCCTCTAAGATTAGCCAGGAGAGGCAGCGTCGACGGCACGCCCTTCTCAAGTACATCAAGGAACGCTGGGAGTTTGAACAGCTCGTGCGTGATGTCGAGCAGCAGCTTGCTGGCTTGGAAAATAAGGACGATCCGGAGCTTGTTCACGACGTTATGCTCCCGGCTCAAGGAGAGCTGGCCGACTCAGTTCTGTCCAAACCAGGGACCACTATAGAAGAGGAGATGGATAGGCGTAATCACAGTCCGCAACAATCAATTAAGTGGGTCCTAGAAGGTTCAGATTGGATTGATTGATTACCGCTTTAAGCCTAGTAGTTACCTATAGGAGTTTAAGCCCTACCTAGATAGGTAAGTGGGTCTAGGAGAGTGACCGGATTGAATTGATTGTTGCGGAGTCTAGGCGTAATAGGGCCATTCATGCGGTTGCCCTGTACTGTCGCGTCGAAGAGGGGGGAATGAACCCTATCCGAACAAGAGGGCGGAGCAGGAACGCCGCCCCACCCGTCAAGAGCCAGCTAGAATACGAGGAAGAGGCATTAGAAGCAGCCAAAGTCTCAGTGTACAAAGAGAAAAGGCCGAAGGTGTGTTTCCTTTGCCTGGGCAACGAAGGACTGCCGCTGGCAGAGCGCATACGTCCCTTTGGTACCCTAGGCGATCTTAGTAAGCATTTTGGACGCAAACATTTAGAACATATTAAGAGTGGGAAGGATCTTAGTTGTAATCTTTGTAAGGTGCCCCTATTGGACAAGATGCACTTGCAACGACATGCTCAAGAGATTCACGGAACCGTATCCCCTAGACGTTCCTATAGTCGCTGCTAGCATCTGGAATATCATGTTAGATCTCGGATAAAGGAGACAGGGCAAAAGGAGGAAGAAGGTTGTTGTATTGAGAGAGCTACAGAGAGCGATTAGATACACAACCAAGATGAGTAAGCAGGTGACGTGGAGTCACGTGAGGTTGCAGTTCACCCTGTACGGTGTGAACTGAGGTGCCAGGCTGACATTAGAATACCCAGATGAAGCTGGGCCTACCATTCTTCAAAGGTCTAAGCTGCAGATATACTCGGGGAATTTCTGCGCAGCACTTCAATCCAGACGTCTCACCACTCCAATCACGAAGGCACTCTTATTATTTGTGTACTTCTGCGCCATCGCGCGAAGTCGAGACGGCGCAATCACATACTTGAAGTTTGCTAGTGCAGCATCCCACATCGCAAGCTGCATGAATTTGTCCCGTTGATGCAGCGGTATCGGTCGTGTATGGGATCGGGGATTGTTTCATCGGTGGCGGGGTAATAGCAGGTGTGTAGGTGCGGGTGGGTATCGCGATGTTGCTGGCGACAGCATTTCCGTGAGGTAGCCGAATGCGAAGCTGTGTGATGTATGTAAGTAATTGCGCGGTGCTCGGTGCGCGGTGCGCGTGCGCGATGTATCGTAAGGCGGATGATGTATCGTGAGGCGGATGATGTATCGTGAGGCTGGTGAGCGGTTGTGCCTTGGTGGCGGCGGCGTACGTCATCAGGTGCGGACGGGTAGGTAGTCCTGGCTCAGAGCTGGGTCTGGGTCCAGGACCCTAACACGTTAAACTCTGCGCTCAGCCACACGTCTATCCTTCACGACCTCGCTTCGTCCGATACCTAATGGCCGACGTACAATTCACCATATACGCCTCATGGACGAAGAACGACAACACTGAAATAACGGAGATCTCCGCCTTCGGTGGCGTCTCATCCGACGAGGATGACGAACCTAACGATCTCTTTGGTGATGACCACGGCAGCGTCGAGGGTCACATCTGTATTCAGGGCGACTCGGTTAGTGGACTTACATATCATTTCAATTCATCTTCGCGGCTGAATAATCGAAGTTCATAGAGGCCTTTGGCAGACTCCCCGTTCTTTATGTTCGCTCTGATGGTACCACTACCAACGTCGACGAGCACGATGACTGTTACACTATCTTCTTCAAATGCATTGAGGATCTCTGCAACAAGACTTTTGAGCTGAGATTCTTCTTCGATATAATTGAGTAAGTGTCTCGTAGTACTATGTAGACTCCGCAACAATCAATTCAATCCGGTCACTCTCCTAGACCCACTTACCTATCTAGGTAGGGCTTAAACTCCTATAGGTAACTACTAGGCTTAAAGCGGTAATCAATCAATCCAATCTGAACCTTCTAGGACCCACTTAATTGATTGTTGCGGACTGTGGTACTATGTGCATGCGTTGACCTAACTTACTCTGCGTAGGGCTCCGCCTTTAGTAGGCCCAGCTCGGTGCTCAGAAGGCCACGCTCATGCATGTGAGTGTCGACATGCGCACAAGGAGTGGCTTGTACGAGGCGAATGTCTTGGCCAGATCATGGACGAGCACATTCGGATGGCATAGCACAGATTTGCAGTGGCTGCATATAGCTCGCAGATTGCCATCCTGTAGCATCTGATTAAACTGCTCTTTCTTGAATAGCTTCTTGCTGAAGATCCTCTTCTATCTGCCAACGGCTCCGATCATGAAGCCTTTCTCGTCCATATTGTATGTGTGCTCAGGCTCCACTTCGTAAAAGTCGATTGTGCTGCCTAGCTGTTCAAAATACACTTTGTATTTATCACCAGAATCAGCAGCGTGGCGTTTACAGTCCATAGAAGTGCTCCACTGGGATGTGAGCTTGTCTTCGTGTCGGTGGAGGAAGCGAGTAACCCAGCTTTCGGAGACGGGCTTGGCGGGGTTGGAGGGGGTGATTGGTGGGGGGTTTGATGACTGTAAGGGGCTGGAAGGGGATGTGGAAGAGAGTGAGATGAATGGAGGGTAGTGAGGGGAGTCAGCGGCGTGATGGTCGGGAGGTGGTAGTGTCACCGTTGAGGGCGGGAAGGGAGTTCAGGGTGCATATGAGTTTGAGGTGAGTTGTTTATTGGCTATGTGTGCAGCTAACGAAGACATCCAACTTGTGGTGTCTTGTCGTAGTGGGTATCTTAGGAGTGCTCATACGGAAGCGTGAAGAGATTCGCGACGGTCATAGCCGTGCTATTATGTCAACGCCACCAGTGTATCCTCCCATCCTTGTACGCCATACTCCAAGCAGCAACACTCCAAATGATCCCATACCAAAGCCTACAATGAGGTAGGCATCGCTATCGAATGTCGAGCGTGTGCGCGTCTTGTGAGTGTTGAGCGCGTAACTATCGCCTAGGCATAGGTCGCAGTGACAGCTCCGTACCGAACGCCGTTGACCAAGAGAGAGAACTCCAGAGAGGACTGGATAGACATCTCAACTTTGAAGTGTAGTGTATAGTAATGACCGTCTGATAGGCTTAAATGTCGTTGGAACAGATTCTGGGGAACTCCATTCAAGTCAACGTTCAAGGTAGCGACCTTGTAGACGAACTAAGAGCAGTCAGTACACGTTGTTTCTGAATAACATCGAAGGCATATCGACTTGCCTTGTCCTTAGACCGGTAAGACGGTTTATCAGCATCCGTGGCTAGAAGATCACAACTCGCCGAACGGTTGTCACCCGGCCAGAAGTGCTGATGCAGGGTCAGTGTAGCATGCGACTCCGACACAGCAGCAAGGTCTTGGCCCTTCTTCAGCATCCATTCCATCTGATTTGCAGCCTTTTTGAAACCGTCATGTTGAGAAATAAATGAGTCGGCTTCCCTGTGTCTGCCCGAGACGAAGGGGACGTAGAAGTCAGTACCGTAGTGTCTACGACACTTGCGATTCTTGATCGGAGCACGGCCATCGCTTTCAAGACCCTTCGCGGCTGCACCACGAACTATAGCAGACCAGCTACACCATATTAGTTACTGCTCATGATGCATATTGAAGGGGTTCACTTACGCATAAGAAGGTCGGATTGTTTGTAGACCATGGGCTTCTGCGTACGCCTTCACCTTCTCGTAAATGTAGGGCGATTCAGCAAATCCTCCAACCATGAAGATAGACTAGAACAGTAAATAACCGAGTATTGGAACATATTTGAACAATTAGTGTTACATACTTTCAGTTGTACGTTACCGGTGCGGCGTGCTTGCTGTATTTGTCCAAGTAAGAGCTCGTATGTGCGACGAAGCGGAAACTCGAACATCTTCTTCATGTCATTCCTGTTCCTGTCAGATAGAACATGGGGTTTTGTTACTGAAAAGCTTACGCAGTGATCATGATCTCGCCATCCTGGATACCTCGAGCTTCGTCGTCCTCAACTGAGCTCAAAGGAATTGGAAGACGTAGAAAGTTGGTCTCGACACCAGAGAAACCACTCTTAGCCTCGAGAACAAAGTCCTGGACCATGCGGCTCAGTTTTGGCGACAGCGAAGTGCGAGGTAGATTCTCGCTCCTGTCGCCAGCGATCAACATAAAGTCAGCAGTTCCCAGACGGCGTTCTAGCCACTCGAGAAAGCCTCGCTCCACAAAGCTGCCGCCACATTGGTCGCCACTTCCGATGGTAGCTTCTTCCAAAGTGGTTGGATTCAAATCGACAACCCGGTACGAGATCCTAGACGTTGGCGTGCGAAGTTAGCATCTGTCTCATACGAAGTTCGTGATCGGTGTCACATACAAATCCACTGTGCCTCCACCCATATCACAGACAATGAAGCCATCGCCCACAGCAAACTGCTCATCTTGAACGCCTCCGCGAAGTGATTGAATGGTATAGATAGCCGCGGCTTCGGGTTCCGTCGTGAGGATGGTGCGCTTCAGTTGAGGGAGCTCGGTGTCGTTGAAGCCAGCCTTGTTGACAGCCTGAAGCGTGGAGTTTTTCGCAGAGTCTGACCAGACTGCAGGAACAGTGACAACTAAGGTAATCGGCAGTGTTCGCCAGAGGCCTTTGCCGTACTGGATGTCCAAGTTCTTAATGAGATGAGCCTTAACGTGAGCAAGAAACTCCGCGATGATGTTAACTGGCTGGTTGGAAGGGGCTCGGTTATCATAGAGAGAGAGCTCCTTGATGATATGGGCCACCTCGCCAGGCTTTCCGTTATTAAGCAAGAGCTTGGTCCACATATGTCGCTGAACGTTCGGCGGAATCAACGAACCCCATTGAGCGCGGTCGATCAGTGCGATCTCACTCGGAACCTTCTCTTTCGTACCAATCTTGGTGTGACGAGAGGGCCAGTCCTTGATGACCAGGATGTCTTTGCCGACTACACCAGTGTCGGAGGTCTCGCAGAACGCGACGCCTACATGGTCGTTAGCTAGTTGATAATGTTCTGGATCGCTTCAGATCACACTCACCTGTATACGTAGTGCCGTAATCCAGGCCGATCACTAAGCGATTGCTGAGCATGATGAGTATTCACACAGGAGTCAAGTGAGGTTGCGGATGTCGTGGCTGATCGAGAAAATATGAGGGTGCTTTGTGTGAGTATAGAAAAGCTCTAGCGAGCTGCTGAAAATTTTCAAGGTCTCGAGGTGAAAGTGAAGACAGCTCTGAAAGCGCCCGGACGATTTGGTCGCCAGTGTCGCTCACCACCCGCGACTCCCACAGCAAGTAACCTACAACTCCGCGCAACCACCCGTGATAAGTACAGTCGGCACAACACAACGAGAAATTTGCTGTCGCACGTGTCATGCTGGACAAGCTGACAGGAGCAGTGTCGGGAGCAGTAAGTACCCTTCGCGATCACTCAAACACGACTCGAGATACTAAAACAATACATCAAGTTTGCCGCAATGAGAGGACCGAATGAGCCCATACCGACTGCTGAGCTGCACCCTCCTCAGACAGGCCGTAGAACTGGCGATTCTGCACCACGGGCGAGAGCGGAGATCAGCAATGCAAACACCGGTGGTGTTGCTCTGCCCCGGCAATACCAGAAGCACGAGGCTATGAGAGACCATAAGAAGACCCGGTATGAATTCTCCGAAGCGGCAAACCCGCAGGCTGCATTCGAGAGTGTTGCTGCAGAGTTTCAGAATGCGCTCACCGATCGTGAGAAGGAACTCGACGAAGAGCGGCTCAAGTGCAGCTTACTCCTACACGCCAACAACAAAGCCGCCGAGACCATCAAGAATCAGGCTCAGACCATCGCGCAACGGGAAGCTGACGCCAAGTCGCTACACGATCTGCTTGATACCATCGTGGAAGGATATCTTAAGCCCTATGCTCTGGAAAATGGTACTCATCCTGACGGCTGGTCACGAGAATCTGTTCTCGAAGTCATGAAGGCTCTCTCAACAGATGCTAGCGACGCGCATGTCCACACCGCCGAAGCCATGTCTTACGCGGCTGATGTTCATTCCCTAACGGAGCAAGTTCGCACTCTCCAGAAAGAGATGCTCGCCAAGGTGGAGAAAGTACACGTTGCTTCCGACGAACAATTTGCGCAAGACTTTCGCAACATCGTCTCACTCATCAAGACCATGAGCCGTACAGTCCATATTGTCGATACCGTGGATGTTGCAGGAACCTTGGGCACTGGTCCTTTACTCGAGGGCGTGTCGGGCGGTCACTGGGCTGGGCGCGCAAAGAAGAAACTCTTGGTCGAGGCGTGGGTCTGGTCGGTCCTCCTTGATAACATCTTCCGCACACCCTTCGCTATCTTTGGAAACCAGTGTGACGTCTTGAACAGCTACTGGAACAACATCTACCAGCCTCGGCACCGCAATGGTTGGCCGAAGCCTACAACCCTCTGCGAAACTTGGCGTTACACAACAGTAGAGAGCATGCTTGAGCGTATAGATCGAAATATCATCGCGCATGGAAAAGAAGTGGGCGAACCTAACAAGCTTGAAGTCGGCGTCTCTACTCTGCGTCACGAGACATACAACACCATCGGCAGCCGCCTGACCAAGATCTCTTCTATAACCGTTGATGCTCCGCAAGTCCAGAACATTGTCGACAAAGCCTTCAAATTGGCGCTGCAGATGTCACTTCAACGAGTCCGTATCCAGATAACTCACCCCAAGGTCGGAGACAGTTTTAGCACGGACACGATGAAAGCTGTGCCAAACACTGACGGCGAAGACGCCGACGATGGAGCAGTGGCCTTCATCGTCCACCCTGGCCTGACTAAGTGGGGCGACACGCACGGGAAGAACCTCGACCATCGTTACGACATTGTTCCATCTCTAGTTCAGGTAGCAGACTCTTCCAAGCCAGAATCTGTGCAGACCGAGCCAGGACTGCGTGTTTGGGCGAACGTTGTGAAGCACGGTCTTGAGAAGACTTCGGCTTCGGACCGCAAGAATCAAGGAGAAAGCCAGCGCTAAGAGGGAACCAGAGTGTTTCCATTAGTTGACATGTCCAGCAACCAAAGCCGTTCAGACCAGGCACGAAAGGTGCAAGGCGATGGCTACTCTCCGAGACAGTATGAGGCCTTGGGTTGGATATGGTTAGTAGGGAGGTTTCACTTCCTTCTTGACCAGACCACGTTCACATAAATGTGTGATTCTGCTCTATAGCGCGAAAAAATCAACTAGAGAACTCACTTGAGAAATTCATCTTCGCATTCATATCTGTGACCTTAGCTAACCCCATCCCGAGGTCTTCTGTATGGCAGTCTCGTGCTATGTCGCATGTGAAGTTTCGAATGCTCAAGTAAAACTTGTGTGATGGCTGTATAACAGGGAGTAGATGACGATGCAACTATTGATGTAGGAGAAGAACGCGATCGGAATCGAGATGGAAGGCAATGTTCACGTCAGAGGCGCGTCCGAGCGATGCCATTTCCGCGGCTAGCGCCGAACGCGTCGAGCCCATCTTCAGTACTACACCACCGCGAGCTGTGAAAGCACCCGCACCCACGCATGCCAATTGCCCTTCTGCCGTAGTGAGATCATCTCGATGGTGATGGAGACACGCCATGTTTTGAGCTGCGATGGCTTGCGGTCAGAATACGTATGCGAATAGAACTAGCGCATGTATTTGACGATGAGAGCGCCATCGCGGGCAGCTTGAAGCCTAGCATTGATCTGGTTGTCGCTAGACATGGCAGCTTTCCATTGAGCAGTGAGCAGAGTTACCAACAAGCAAGTCAAGTTGCTCGTCAAAACTGGACGCTAACTGTTAGGAGTAGGAGTTATACCTAACAAAGTAACTACTAGGCTACAATAGGTAATCAAGCAAGTCAAGTTAGACCTTCTGAGCCCCACTTACTTGCTTGTTGGCAACTCTGGCAGTGAGCAACAGACAGTGCGTATCCTTGTGATGGAGAACACTGTACCTACGATGGAGGTCAGCTAAAGCATTTGTGAAGGAAGGGGGAGCATCATCAATGGCAAATCCTGTGTCCTCGCTTCTGTAGCGGTAATGTATCTGATGCAGCTGTCGGGCCGTGGTCGCAGAAGAGTACCCCACAACTCAGGGACCGTAGATGGTGGCGGCGAGGGAAGATGATCCTTGTTCACATTGACCTGATCCTTGAGTGTCAAGCCCGAATACCGCTAGCATGGACCTAGCCCTTACAGAGGGAATGCTTTTCAAGCATCTTGCGCCCTGTGCTTTCATTTTCCATCGCTGCCGCCCTCCGCATATCGATGGCTGCTTGTGTATGTGGTGATGGCGCCTCACGAGGTAGCCCAAGTGCTTCCGCGAATTGCGCTAGTGCATCTAGAAATGGTGTGCCACGGTCGATGGTGATGTTGTAGCCTGCCAACCGCCTCGTGCGTCCACAGATTTCATCCGCATGGGTGATGGGTTCCGAGGTGTAAACATCGGGCTGGCTTCCTCAGCAAGAGAGAGGATGGGTTCGAGGGCGGGCAGATTCTCCTCCGTGAGAGGTAGCCGGGAAGGGCTGTGGTTTGCAGATATTCGTTCTGCAAACGCCGCGAAGTCGATTGCTGTGATCGCTTTGGTGGTGTAGGCTGGTTGAGAGAGCGCACGCCATTTTTGCGGAGGAGAGGGCGATAGTGTAGGAGAAGCACGAGAGCAACGTTCAGCACAATGTTAGCAACAAGGAGTAGGCGGAGTGCGCTTCGTAGAGAGTGGCGCGGCTTCGCGGGCTGCGGGGGACTGAGCATATGGCGACTCGAAGTATTTCTGCCTCGTGGGGTTTACGCTTGATCAGAGCGAACTCGCATAAGATGGTGAGGCCGTGAATACGTTTTGGTGCGATAATGACCGTGTGTGTTGGTTGTTGTTGACCGCTGCTGACAGCCGAAAACAATTGCCCTACGGTAACGTAAGCCACCACCGAGCGCCCGCCCCCACCGAGCGCCCGCACGGCCCGCAAACTTCAAATTTGCACCCATCTTCAACACTACATTTCTCAGCGACCATGGCAGCTATTGACGTAGCTCTCGCAGCGTTGGAATCGTTAGAACCTAGACAAGATTTTGAATATTCAGCATATGCGAAAAAGTATGGCTGCTCGCGAACAACGCTGTCGAGGCGCCACCGGAAAGTTCAAGAGGCACGAACAACAAAGCTTGCAAATAGCCGGCTTCTTAATACTGTACAAGAACAATAGCTTGTACAGTATATAAAGGACCTTTGCGCACGAGGACTACCTCCTTCAAGACCAATGATACGAAATTTCGCCAGCGATATAGCCAAGAAGCCTGTGGGTAAGAACTGGGTGGACCGATTCGTCAAGCGCCACAGCATTGATCTCATCTCACATTGGGCCACCGGCCTTGACCGCAATCGCTTTAAAGCTGATAACGCCTTCATGTATAGCTTATACTTCGAACTTATAAAGCGAAAGATTAAGCAGTACAACATTGATAGTCGCTATATATACAATATAGATGAGAAGGGCTTTCTCATTAGCATCTTAAGTAAGATGAAGCGGGTGTTTTCTAGGCACTAATACGAGTTAGGAAAGATGAAGCACATGCTCTAGGATGGTAATAGGGAGTGGATTACTACCTTAGCTTGCATATGCGCTGATAGATCAGCTCTTACTCCAGCACTAATTTATTAAGCTCAGAGTGGTAATATTCAAGATACATAGTTACAAGACTTTAAGCCAAAGAAACACCGAGCTTTCTTTACCTCATTACTATCTAGATAGACTAGTAATACGATAGGATTAGCCTAGCTTAAGTAGGTGTTTGATCGAGAAACCAAAGCCAAAGCCTAAAGCTTATACCGCTTACTTATCCTTGACGGCTATGGCAGCCATGTTACTATAGATTTTATCAGCTATTGCGACTAGAACAAGATCCTATTAGCTATATATCCACCTCATAGTACGCATACGCTGCAGCCGCTCGACGTCGTCATGTTTGCTCCGTTGGCAGCTGCATACAAAGCTAAGCTTGCCAGCTTCTTGAATATCTCCCAAGGCCTCACCTCTATCACCAAGCGCGATTTCTATCGACTGTTCAATGCAGCATGGACCTCCTCCTTCACAGAGACGCTTGTAATAAAGGCCTTTGCAGCTACAGGGCTTCATCCCTTCAAGCCGGATGTAATACTCTGTCGCTTCAGCACTGCAACTCCAAGCAACTCTAGGCCATCTTCAAGCAATAGCACAACGTCAGTACTTAGTGCAAGCGATTGGAGAAAGATAGAGCGTCTTTTAAGGCAGGCTGTGGATGATGTATATGATACAAAGTCGAAGAAGCTCAGCCAAACGATCCACACCATCTCCGTAAAAAATACCCTCCTTCAGCATGAGAACAACCAGCTCAAAGAGGCCCTAGCTAATGAAAAGAAGCGTAGGCAGCGTGGCAAAGCTTTATTACTGCTGCCGCCTGAAAATTCAAATGGTGGAGCTCAATTCTGGTCACCTACAAAGGTAGAGCAAGCTCGTCAACGCTAGGAGCAAAAAGACCTTGAAGAACAGGCGGCTCAATACTAGAAAACTGAGACCATGAAGCTGAGAGAGCAGCAAAAGCTTGCTAAGGCTCAACAGCTTAAAGAGCGTCGTCTTAACAGAGTTGTGGCAAAGGAGAAGCGGGACTATGAAGCTGAACAAAAGCGCCTTGCCCGCAAGGAAGATTAGATAGCAAGGCAGCTCAAAAAGCAACTCTAGAACGATCTTAAATTGTCCTAAAAGGGTAAGAGGCGCAGCCTTAAGCTTTAAGTTGCAGTGCAGAGTGTAGAGGTGGATGGAGAGCCTGCTGCAGGTGGTGTAGAGGAGCTGGTGGTGATGGCTACTTCACGCTCTAGCCGGCAAATCAAGCCGACCCACAAAGTAATTACGTAATTCTATTTAATTCAATCTACTCTAATACCTCATGCGACAGCGACACTAGAAAATCTCGTGATAATAGCTGTTGTGGGTGGCTCTACAGCCTCATAAAGTAGGTGGTGTAAATGCGTGTTCGCGGGCGTTCGGTGGGGGCGGGCGCTCGGTGGTGGCTTACGTTACGGTAGGCTCCTTGGCGATGGCAAGTGACCCCAACATATTAGCGGAGGGACTAACACAGTTACCCGGCCCCAATGATGTCCTAACTTTAGGAGCTGTTTCCCTCGGTTTTTGACTCCGCTCACACTAAAATAGTAGGCCACCATGGGGACGAGTATCGATGATATAGCGAGTTTGGTGCAGGGGCTCACCCTTGGGGCCCACCCCTACTCTGCACGCAACCAATTATCCTTTCCACAAGAAGCTATTCAAGGACTTGATCAATTAGTCAGCACCATTACTTCACGAGCGCGATCAGTCAAAGATCTCATTGACGATGTAAACAACTCCTTTACAGTGCCCGTGCACCAGGTGAGCCACGTCGGCAGGTGAGCCACCCCACCAAATTTGAGCGTTTTCCAAAAATGAGGCTGTACAACAACGAGCAATTGCTATTATCGCGAGTTTTGATGGTGTTGTAGTATACTGATGCTTGCAATTACTTTGTACTATTTGAATTTTGCCGGCACGTTGATTGGCCGGCCGCGTATAGTCATTTTGGGTGGCGGCGGCGGCGGCGGCGGTGCAGGAGCCGCGCCACTTCCAGCATCAACAACACGATGACGACGAGAAATTTTTGAAATCCGAGTAGATGAGGCTGCTCGCTTGCCCTTCTTATGTGTATCTCCAGCTTTTTGAGAGGTTGCAGCAGCTCGTTGTTGCTGTTTGAGCGCCCGGGATTTGATGCGCTCATCGGCGGAGGCTTTTCTGGCAGCATCACGAGCTTGTTTGGCGCGCTGACGCTCAGCTTTTGCCTCCTCCGCGAGCTTTTTTTTTGTAGATAATTGAGGCTGCCTTCAGCTCCTTCATCTCAGTTTTCTGGAGTTGTAGTTGCTCGGCTTCATGTTGTTTCGTGGCCTCGCGCTCGCGAGCTTCATGTATCTTCCGGGGACTCCAGAAAGTCGCGCCGCCGTGATGCTGCTCGGGCTGCTGTAGATCCAGCGGGTAGCTCTTTTTTTGGTGTTTTGTTTTGATGTCGAGCGCGGCGCGCAGCCCGTCGTTTTCGTGATGAAGTAGCTCGTTTTGCGTTTGTAGAGAGTGCAATGAAGCCGCCAGCTGTTTGGCTTCAACTTTAGCCCTATCCGCAACCGCAGCATCAAAAACTTTGCGCAGCTGAATCCAGCTATTTCTATCACCGTGCTCACCGATCTTTGAAGCCTCAGCTGCCCTAGTTGTAGTGTTGTTAAAGCGTTTCAGGATGACCTCAGCATCCATTGGCCACACGCCTGTAGCTTGAAAACTCTTCTTGATGCTATCTGGAGTCATCGTACAGCTCCACGCCGCCCAAAAGATGCTGTAGAACTCGCGTTTTGTGACGTTGACGATGCCTTGCGCTCGATGAATATGCCTATCCAGCTCGCGAGAATAGTTTGTAGCCAACGGCGCAAACAGCCCGACGTCGAGCGGCTGAAGAGTATGAGTTGCGTGCGGTGGAAACACAGCTAAAAGTATCTTGTGGGCACCGCAAAAGTCGATAAACTCGGTGATTACATGGCTGCCGTGGCCATCAAGGATAAGGAGTCTCCATCGGCGCATTGCTCGCTCCTTCGTGAGCCGATCAAACACCTGTTCGAGCTAGGCTAATCCAAGCTCATTGTTTGACTATCCTGAAGGTGAGTTAGCAAAAATAACCTGAGGTTTTTCGGCTTCTACGTCGTCAACCTAGCCCGATCGAAGCGTAGTTTTGCCTGTGTATACTAGCGCCAGCGGCAATGCCTCACCGGAAGCGCTTACGCAAGTAATGAGTGTAATCCATTCTCTGTTGCCATCCTGGATAGCGGCCTAGCGCTCTTTTGATACCTAAACTACCTTTGTGAAGATCCTTTTTGAGCGGTTTGTGACGCCAATGGCGAAGCCTTTCTTATCCGCATTCCATATATCGCGAGCCTCAATGCCGTATTCAAGCATTTTTGAGAAGAGCATATGAAAATACAGCTCATATCGTTCTTTTGAGTCGGCCTTGTGCCTATCGCGATCGATGCCGGCGCTCCATTTGGTGGTGAGTTTGTCGGCATGACGATGTAGAAACCGAGAAACCCAACTTTCTGAAACCTCCACTTTCGCTATCGATCCGGCGAAATTCTGTATCATTTCTCTTGTAGGTGGCAAGCCTTGCTTTACGCATCTTTCTATGTATATCATGAGCTCGTGCTCCTGTTGTGGGCTGAGTAGCTGTTGTTGTTGATGGGCAGCTGCATTTGAGCGTGTGATGCCTTGGTGCCTCCGCGACAACGTCGTTCGATCAACCCCGAATCTTCTTGCGACTGCGCGGTATGAAAATGATGCGCCGGCTTCACGCGATTCAATTGCATCTATCGCAGCCTCAATTGGATCCATGATGGTGGAGTTGCTGCTTGTTGAAGTTGGAGATACACAGGGTGCAGCTATGCGCGGGGTGGCTCACCTGCCAACGTGGCTCACCTGGTGCACGGGCACTGTAATCCATCTATTGGAGATGTGTGTTCGCTCTATAACGTAAGCCACCACCGAGCGCCCGCCCCCACCGAACGCCCGCGAACACGCATTTACACCACCTACTTTGTGAGGCTGTAGAGCCACCCACAACAGCTATTATCACAAGATTTTCTGGTGCTGCAATCGCATGTGGTATTAGAGTAGATTAAATTAACTAGAATTACGTAATTACTTTGTAGGTACGCTTAATTCGCCGGCCAGAGCTTGAAGTAGCCATCACCACCGGCTCCTCTCCACTACCTACAGTAGGCTCTCTATCCACCTCTACACTCTGCACTACAACTTGAAGCTTAAGGCTGCGCCTCTTACCCTTCTAGGACAATTTAAGATCGTTCTAGAGCTGCTTTTTAAGCTGCCTAGCTATCTATTCTTCCTCGCGGGCAAGGCGCTTTTGTTCAGCTTCACGGTCCCGCTTCTCTTTCGCCATAACTCTGTTAAGACAACGCTCTTTAAGCTGCTAAGCCTTAGCAAGCTTTTGCTGCTCTCTTAGCTTTATGGCCTTAGTTTTCTAGTATTGAGTCGCTCGTTCTTCTAGGTCTTTTTGCTCCGGGCGTTAACGAGCTTGCTCTACCTTTATAGGTGACCAGAATTGAGCTTTACTATCTGAATTTTCTGGCGGCAGTAGTAATAAAGCTTTGCAACGCTACCTACGCTTCTTCTAATTGACTAGGGTCTCTTTAAGTTGGCTGTTCTCATGCTGAAGGAGGGTATTTTTCACGGAGATAGTGTAGATCGTTTGGCTGAGCTTCTTCGACTTTGTATCATATATATCATCCACAGCCTGCCTTAAAAGACGCTCTATCTTTCTCCAATCGCTTGCACTAAGTAATGACGTCGTGCTATTGCTTGAAGATGGCCTAGAGTTGCTTGGAGTTGCAGTGCTGAAGCGACGGAGTATTGCGTCCGGCTCGAAGGGATGAAGCCCTGTAGCTGCAAAGGCCTTTGTTACAAGCGTTTCTGTGAAGGAGGAGGTCCATGCGGCATTGAAAAGTCGATAGAAATCGCGCTTGGTGATGGAGGTGAGGCCTTGGGAGATATTCAAGAAGCTGGCAAGCTCAGCTTTGTATGCAGCTGCCAACGGAGCAAACATGACGACGTCGAGCGGCTGCAGCGTATGAGTACTATGAGGTGGATATATAGCCAATAGAATCTTGTTCTGGTCGCAATAACGTGTATCCCTCCGTGCCGGGACTCCCTGTGTGCCGGGACCGGCCAATCAGATCGCTTAAATCACAGACTTCTGCCCAAAATCTGCAAGTTGATTGGCGGGTCCCGGCACACAGGGAGTCCCGGCACGGAGGGATGGACGTTAGGCTATTCAGCAAATCGACTGTCTAGGCATGATACCAGCCCTTCTCATTCAGTACCTGCATTTCTTTGATAATGCAACCCTCTCCAGCTTCTTCGTTTTTTCTGCTCATACTCTTCCACCTTTTGACTCTTCTTGACACCTCCCACTCTTTGAGCCAAGGTGAGGCTATCCATCGGCGGATGCGATTTTCCCACAAGGCCTTGAATACCTGCCGAGAGGAAAGCAGCAATTCTTGCGGATGTACAGCATCGTATGCCTCACCACTATACCCAACACGCACCTGAGGATTTACATAAGTTCGTTTCTCGGCACGAAGAGGATTGTCTATGTGTATTAGGCAACATTCAGAAGCTTCGATATGGGAATTTGCAAGAGAGTCTGGTATTGCACGAAATCGTAGCGGGGGGCTCGAAACGAAAGGTCCAGCAGGCATCGCAACTGCATTAGAACGTAACGAATTAGCCATCGACAGGAAAGTAGATAAAAGAACGACTTTATAGCCCGTAGAGCCCATTAATGATATCTTAGACTTACCTATGCCGTTCCAACAACTAGTCACGGGCACTGGATGATTTCTCAACATCGCTCTTCGGGATTCCCTGGCTCGGAAGTACGGCCACGTCTGCATAAGTGGTTCATGACCTTCGGCGTCCCGGAGCGCAAATGTATCGTACAACTGCGGAGGCGAACTAAAGTCCAGTGAACAAGCGGCTGCAAAGTCTCCATTGTTCGTATGGAGTAATCGGAAGACGTCCTCTACCTATACTATCGTTAGCTACTCCAAGCAGTTCGAGTGTGAGTCAGCTCGTAAGGCATACTTCAAACATGACGTCGTTCAAGAAAAGGACTTTATCAAACCGCTCCCCTTGCCGAGCTAGCTCCTGCAAAGACTCAAGGGTCCAGTTACGAAGTCGAGAAAGATATGGTATCCGTCTGAGCTCTCTCCTTCCCCTAGGTGTGTCTACCCAGCCTGAGCCTCTGTTCACGACAGAGATCTCATCTAGATGAGTAGTCTCCGAAAGAGTTATGTTTCGCCTGATCTGATGTGCCGCTAGCGCCATGTCAAGCTCCCTCAAGGCACCTTTGCTATCGTCCCAACTCCCATTTTCGTAGACTGTGACGAAGACATTCTCCCGGCCAAGCGCATTAGCTAGAGCGATTACGGCATCGTTCCAATAACTTCGTAGAGCCTGCTCGCCGTTCCAATACATACTAGCGATGTACACTCGTTCCGATGGTTTAGTAACAGGTTCGTTCGTAGGGCTCGACAGGCAGCGTAGAATCTGCGTAACCTCAAAAATATTGAACAAAATAAAAACAAGAATGAATACTTGCATAATTGCACTACGACGCAGCGCTCGTAGGTTGCGCATCATTGCTGCCATCGAGGCTTTGTAGAGGTATTATCGGAGTAAGTGTAAGTAGTGCGGGAAGGAATTGAAGGATTGAACTGAGGTTGTATTATGTGTAGCTACGAACATTAGATATACATGAGTGGCTGTAAACAGCGCTAGTATAGGATGGGGAGTCGCATCTCACTGAAGGTGAGGCGCGGCTGCCCATGAGGCAAGAGATACTCAAACCGTGACAGGTATACTGTACGTCGGAGAAATGAGAGCTACGCAACTAATCGAGGATTTCTTCCTTCAGCTGCAATCACCTGTCCACCCTAAAATCAGGCATTCTCGCCTAATGACGACCTTAGCCAGATAGTGCTAGTTTGTGTCAGTAATGCCCCTAGACAAGCGCATACCAGGTGGGTCAATGTGCCGCGTGGGATGGAAGACGGGCGGCGTGCAAAAAGCGGAAACTGCAAGTGCATGTAAGTGTACTGCAGCCATGCGGCGAAGCTTTTGTGACAGCCTCGTCCGCTCGCTGTCTGAGCGGTAATTCGTTCCTGGTCCATACAGACAAACGACAGCCTCGCGATTGCCTCGGAGCATGGGCGGCTATTAACAAAAAGTGGGCTGGCCCCTTGCTGCGACATCGGCCTCATTTGATATTGCTGCCTACCTACAAAAATTGCATCCTCGCCGCATGGTTGCAGGCGTGTTCGATCACAGCAGTTGGGTTGGCTGTCACACGTCTAGGCGCTAGGACCGTTCCGTAAGCTTTTGCCGCATGAGCCGCGCGCTGCAAGAGCCGTCGGATGGTACCTGCATCGCTTCGGCTGACATGCCGAACCAAGATGCCCAGTCTCGGTTCAGAAGTGGCCGAAATTTGGGGGCAAGGCTGTTGACAAGGCCACGGATGGGATGGTATAGGCTGTGTGGGCGCAGAGCGTTGCATACCTGTCGAGGTGTTTCACTCGGTCCACACTCGGCTCGTTTGGCAACCAAGTTTGAGCAGTCGACTGAACTGAATCTAATCCTACAATAGGAGCGGGACTGATCGAGACACGACTGGGACGTCACCATAAGCACTTTCGAGAATTCGTCGGCTCAGCGCAGAGCTGTCATGACAAGAACTGTGCCGTAGTGGCGCGTGTGTTTACTAGTAAGCTGCTTACGCTTCCGAAGTGAGTTTGTGCACGGAACTGAGCAATTGAGTTCCCGGCGTCTACAGCAAGCGAAACGCGCTTCCGTATACACTGTAGTGTAGACAAGGGTAGGCCAGCCTACTGCAAACAGCTGGGCCGCGCTTCCTACGCGTTCATGCACAGACCTCTTTGCGGTAATTAACAGGGGTAGATGCCTGAAGTGGGGCTACGGTAGAAACTAGCAATCGCTTCCTAGCTATTTTACACTATATCCTCAGTCACACCACTCTTCCTAGAGCTACAAAAGATGTAATTCCCTTCTTAATAGGTGACGCTGCGAGACGTTAAAGAGTGGTCTACTCAGCTCCTTTCTCGTCGCTATCGCCGTTATCTCAGCCTGCTCGCCGTGAAAAACAGCCGCCACCGCACTACCATCTACGTAACCGTCCGCCTTCCTTCGACACTAAGCAAAGCAACGGAGCTCTTCTAGGGGTTCAAGCCTGTGATAAGACAAAAATAGTAATAGACAAGACACATTCAAGTGTGTAATCTACATCCCCTTGTCGTCTCAGTTGTACTCAGACTTTCCAACAAGCAAGTCAAGTCAAGCCGGCTGGCTGGCTCGAGTGGAGCTTGATAAGATGGTGAGCAGCTTGACTTGATCACATAATCAAGCTGAGATAGGTAGCTTGCTTAAGGCTTGACTTAATAGCTTGATAGCCTATACTACAAAAATTCCTAATGTTAAGTCTCGTAATAGTCGCCACCCTAGCTGCTAAGGTCGTACAAAAGCTCTATTTCGTCGTCCGTCATCGTCGACTTAGCCGCGACCTCGACGTCGCCTAAGCCGGCTCTTTGCCACCGTCTTACGCACTGTGTAGCCGCCAGAAGCTGCGGTTTTATAGTGCGGCGACGCGGCTCGAGGAGGTCGCCAAGCTCACTAAACAGGCGCTCACACTCACAGCTTGAGGCTGGGGTAGAGAGTACATCGAGCGTGAGCTTGCTGAGGTTAGGGTAGCGATCGCGTAGCTCTACCTAGTATTTAATGGGGTTGTTTGCCTGATTGCTACGCTTCTCCGCGCGCAGCTCGCTACGCTTCCACCGCTCGAACTCGTCGTCGTCTGTGGTGTTGTTGATGGAGGCGCTGGGGTTGATGAGGCCGTCAATCGCGTCGTCCATGTCGCTCGTGAGGACCTTAGGGCGCCTCACCTTGCGCGGTGAGGCGCTATATAGCTGCCAAAGGGCGCGAAAGTTGCGGTTGTTAGCGACGAGCCACTCAGGTTTATCGCTCTAGACGGTGTCGTAGTACGTTTTGTAGTACGGATGGAGTATTGTAGCAGCGTAGTACGCCGGCGAGTCATCTAACTTGGCGTAGTACTCGCTGATTTTAGCCCACGCGGCACGTAAGTTAATGGCGAGATGGTCCTTAGGCGCCTCATCGTGCGCGTTGAAGCAGTATCGCGATTGGACTAAGCGTGCGCAGGACTCTATAAATAAGGTCTTCAAGCAGTACGTAGCTTCGGAGCCTCATGACGACGAGCAGCTGTCCGCGCCGTCGCGGCGTAAGCTGCCTGGCAACAGCGACGGCAGCGATCTATACAGTCAAACTATGGCCGTTGACCTCATGTACCTCACCGGGTCAAAATCCCACAAGCGCTTCAAGCGCGCGAGCCAGCTAGATGTGTCGGCATACACACGGTGTGTCGCCTAATAAGGCCCAATGTACCGCCTCGATCCTACTTCGGCCCAACTCGGACCCAACGCTATGTATACCTTCGTAGCCCCCACATTCGTAGAATCATCATACACCAGAATACCAATACACAAGATTACCTTAGCTACTGTTATTCACCGTACGATCGTACAAGGCCTTCCAACACCTGTTAAGATTCTCGCTCAAAGGGACTTCTACGCAACAGAGTACGCCCAGAGTACGCAATTGAGCTGCACGCTCAGATTGGTTTCGGTTCGACGGCGCTTACACGGTTTATCAAAGCATCCATCATGGTGCGAATGAAGCTGTGTGTAACATCGTGATGACTTGTGTTGTGAATGAGGTGCATTGCAGTTGATGAGGCGTGGGATGGCGGGGTGTTGCATTGAGTCAGGGTCAGGCTAGTGCGGGGAGGAGTCAAGCAAACAAATTGTCTACCAACTCGTCTCGCGCGGTCAACACTGCAAACACGCCCACACGCTGCCATGTCGATAGACTTCCCCAAGGAGGAGGAGCGCGTGCTCGCCCGCTGGAAGGAGATTGACGCATTCCTCAGGCAGGTCGAGCTGGTATGTTCTTTCCACATTCGCAAGTGGCACGCAGGCAAACATTGGGATTATGACATGATATATCTAACACAACCCAGTCGAAAGGAAAGCAACCATACACCTTCTACGATGGGCCGCCCTTTGCGACGGGACTCCCCCACTACGGCCACCTGCTCGCGTCGACGATCAAGGACATCATCCCGCGGTACTGGTCCATGAAGGGCCGCTATGTCGAGCGCCGCTTTGGCTGGGACACACACGGCGTGCCCATTGAGTATGAAATTGACAAGGAGCTGGGCATGTCCGGCCGCGACGCCGTGAGGGAGCTCGGCATCGCGACATACAACGAGAAGTGCCGCGCCATTGTTATGCGCTATGCCAGCGAATGGCGGTCTACCATCGAGCGCCTCGGCCGCTGGATCGACTTCGACAACGACTACAAGACCATGGACACGAGCTTCATGGAGTCGGAGTGGTGGGTCTTCAAGCGCCTCTTCGACAAGGGTGCCGTCTACCGCGGCTTCAAGGTGATGCCGTACAGCACCGCATTGGCCACGCCCCTTAGCAACTTCGAAGCCTCGCAGAACTACAAGGACGTCCAGGACCCGGCCATCGTCGTCTCCTTCCCGCTCGTCGAGGACCCCAACACGTGCCTGCTGGCCTGGACCACGACGCCCTGGACCCTCCCCTCCAACATCGGCCTTTGCGCCCACCCCGACTTCGAGTACGTCAAGATCCTCGATGAGGCCTCGGGGCACCACTACATCCTGCTCGAGGTGCTGCTACGTACCCTCTACAAGGACCCCAAGAAGGCCAAGTTCAAGATCGTCGAGAAGATCAAGGGCAAGGACATGCTCGGCTGGAAGTACACCCCGCCCTTCGACTACATGTACGACGAGTTCAAGGACTACGGCTTCAAGGTCCTCAACGACCTCTATGTCACCGCCGAGAGCGGCGTGGGCATCGTCCACCAGTCGCCCGCCTACGGAGAGGACGACTATAGAATTGCAATGGCGCACGGCGTCATCAGCGACTCGCGCCCGCCCCCAAACCCCGTCGATGACGCCGGCTGCTTCACCGACAGGGTCAGCGACTTCAAGGGCCAGCACGTCAAGCAGGCTGACAAGGCCATCATCAAGCACCTCAAGGGCACCGGCCGTCTTATAGTCAACTCGCAGCTCACCCATAGCTACCCCTTCTGCTGGCGCTCAGACACTCCCCTCCTCTACCGCACCGTCCCGTCCTACTTCATCAAGATCCAGGAAATCGTCCCACAGATGCTCGAGAACATTGCAGGCTCGCACTGGGTGCCGTCCTTCGTCAAAGAGAAGCGCTTCGCAAACTGGATCACCAACTCCCCCGACTGGGCCGTCTCGCGTAATCGCTTCTGGGGCACACCTCTACCGCTCTGGGTCAGCGACGATGGCAAGGAGATGGTCTGCGTCGGTAGCATCGAGGAGCTGAAGAAGCTCAGCGGATACGAGGGCGAAATCACCGACATCCACCGCGACCGCATCGACAACATCACCATTCCGAGCAAAGAGGGCAGGGGCATGCTGCGGAGGACACCAGAGGTGTTCGACTGCTGGTTTGAGTCCGGCTCTATGCCCTACGCCAGCGCACACTACCCCTTCGAGAACATCGAGCAGTTCGAGGCGTCGTTCCCCGGCGACTTCATCGCCGAGGGTCTCGACCAGACTCGCGGCTGGTTCTACACATTGACCGTCCTCGGTACCCATCTCTTCGGCAAGCTGCCCTTCAAGAACTGCGTCGTCAACGGCATCGTGCTCGCCGAAGACGGTAAGAAGATGTCGAAACGTCTCAAGAACTACCCAGACCCCAACCTCATCATGAAGAACTATGGCTCCGACGCCCTGCGGTTATACCTCATCAACTCGCCAGTCGTACGTGCGGAGACACTGCGTTTCAAGGAGACTGGTGTCAAGGAGATTGTGTCCAAGGTCCTCCTACCCTTCTGGAATAGCTACCAGTTCTTCGATCAGCAGGCGACGCTGCTGAAGAAGGTTGCCGACCTCCACTTCGTCTTCGACCCCGCAGCTGAGAAGACCAACACCAACATATTCGACCGATGGATTCTTGCGTCTTGCCAATCGCTGCTCAAGTTCGTTAACGCCGAGATGGCCGCATACAGACTCTACACCGTTGTACCGCGGTTACTTGAACTCATCGACAACACCACAAACTGGTACATTCGGTTCAACCGCCGGCGCTTAAAGGGCGAGTACGGCCTGGAAGACACCAAGCACGCCCTCAACACCCTCTTCGAAGTCCTCTACACCCTCTGCCGCGGCCTCGCGCCCTTCACCCCCTTCATCACTGACAACATCTACCTCCGTCTCCTGCCGCACATTCCTAAAGAGCTCCACTCCGAAGACAACCGCAGTGTGCACTTCCTGCCTTTCCCTGAGGTCCGCGAAGAGCTCTTCGACGAGTCCGTCGAGCGCCAGGTCAAGCGCATGCAGGCCGTCATCGAGCTCGGCCGCATCTGTCGCGACCGCGCCAACAAGGGCCTCAAGATCCCGCTCAAGACACTCGTTGTGATCCACCCCGAGCAACAATACCTCGACGATGTCAAGAGCCTGGAGAACTACATCTGCGAGGAGCTCAACATCCGCGACCTTGTGCTCTCGAGCGACGAGGAGAAATACAAGGTGCAGTACAGCGCCACGGCAGACTTCTCTGTGCTCGGCAAGAAGCTGAAGAAGGACGCGATCAAGGTCAAAAAGGCGCTGCCCGGCCTCACATCGCAGCAGATCAAGGACTACCTCAAAGCCGGCGAGATGACCGTCGACAGTATCACGCTCGAGGCCGAGGATCTAATGGTCAAGCGCAGCCTTGCCAAAGACGACGCGAACAAAGACCAGGAGTTCAACACAGACAATGATGTGCTCATCATCCTGGACGTAGCATCATACCCCGAGCTCGAGCAGGAAGGCCTGGCACGCGAGGTCATCCGTCGCGTGCAGGACCTGCGCAAGAAGGCCGGTCTCGTGCCGACAGACGACGTGGGCATGGAGTACCGCGTGCTGAGCGACCCAGACGGCTTGGACTTGGAGAAGGCGTTTGAGAACCAGGGACCGCTGTTTGAAAAGGCGCTGAGGCGGAATGTGGACAAGCATGTCATTACGGAGCTGGATGGCAAGATTGAGGAGGGTAAGAAAGAGGGCGTGATTATGGAGGAGGAGCAGGAGTTGCACAAGGCGACGTTCATGTTGAGGTTGGTGAAGCTGTGAAGTGATGTGATGGAAATGGGATTGGACAGGTGTGATCAAGACAAAAGTAGATGATGATAGAACGAAGACAAGCGTATATTTAGATTGACGTCTTGGAATGCTCTACGTGATGTGTTGTGAGTCTTGTCATTGCATCTTATATGCTTTCTGAAATACATGTTAGCGAAGTTGGCTGAAGGGAGAGGGAGAGGTACGAGATAGCAGTCTTTGAGCTTCATGAACTCAGCATTGCACATGCCCTTGTGTACGTTCGAGTAGTCTGCGAAGATGCATTTTCCATAGAGTGTGCTCTATATTTATGTATTAGTACTGCAGAAGGGGCCAAGTTGTTAGACGTGTGTAAGTACCTCTGTCGAGCACTTCCCCACTGCGGTGGCGAGTTTGCCGATGGGGCGTGTTCGGCCTGGCATTTTGGCGGAATAGCGGGGCCTTCTTTGTAACAATGCCCCAGTCTTGTCAAATGCTCTACAACGTTAGTTGATCTTGTGTTGGATGGTATCTCAATGTCCTCATCGTTGGAAATGTCTCGATGACGACTGTCATGCACAGACCATTCTGCATTTCTACCGTCCGTGCGCATCCAATGCAACAGGTCAGCCAATGCAACACCAAAACCACAACCACCCACTCACAAAACGCGTCATAACTCCACCAATATGGACCCCATTCAAGAAGCGATTGAATTTTTGGAATCGCGTGAGGCTGGCAATAATTTCTCGTACCGCCAAATCGCGAAAATGTTTGGTGTTGAGCTTTCTACGCTCGTTCGAAGACACCAAGGCAAAACGCAGCCTAGGGGGACTATGCATCGTCTCCTCCACCCACAACAAGAGAAGGAGCTTGTAGAGTACATCAGGGGGCTCTCCGAGCGACGTTTGCCACCTACGAGGACAATGATACGCAATTTTGCGTCGTCTTTGGCTGGAAAAGAGGTCTCAGAAACCTGGGTTTCCCGGTTTCTAAGAAGACACCCATCAGAACTCATATCGCGCTACACCTCTGGGATGGACCGCAAACGTCACAAAGCTGACTCAGGGGCTAAATACAAGTTGTATTTTGAGCTTCTGCATGCCAAAATGATGGAGTATGGGGTGCAACCTACTCAGATCTACAATATGGATGAAAAGGGGTTTCAAATTGGATGCCTTGGGCGATCAAAACGCGTGTTTGACAAGGTGTTATATGATCAAAAGGGGGTTAGGGCATGCCTTCAAGATAGCAATACTCAATGAATTACTGTATTGGCATGCGTTTGCGCCGATGGTACAGCCTTGAGTCCATCCCTCATCTTCCAATCGGACGCTGGGACCCTACAAGCCTCATGGGTTGACGCTATTGACGCCGAAAAGCACTCAGTCTTCGTGGCGTCTTCTCCAACGGGCTGGACGAACAACGATATAGGGCTTGCCTAGCTCAAGGAGGTGTTCATAAGGGAGACGAGGCGTTCAGGAGTCAATGGGTACCGATTACTCATCCTTGATGGCCATGGATCTCATGTTACTATGGACTTTATCAATTTCTGTAACGACAACAAGATCCTCCTCGCCGTCTTTCCCTCTCACGCTACCCACACGCTTCAACCCCTGGATGTATCGTTGTTCAAACCTCTCTCGGACGCCTACTCAAATGAGCTCGCGAAGTACCTTCAGGACAGCCAGGGGCTGCTCCCAATAGTAAAAGGAGACTTCTTTCACCTCTTCTGGAGCGCCTGGTGTACTGCTTTTAAGCCTCCAACGATCATAAAGTCCTTTGAAGCTACAGGTATTTACCCCCCTAATGCCGAGGTTATACTTAAAAGATTCGTCAAAGGGGGCTACAATTCAGATGACGGCTCATCTTCATGCTTTTCTGAAGAAGACTGGGTCAAAATAGAGAGTATAATACGACGTCAGGTGAAAGATCAACGCAATAAGGAGGTCAAAAAGCTTCGCCGAAGTCTCCATCACATCTCCACCCAGGCAAGCCTCCTTAGGCATGAAGTAAGGGGCCTCCGGCGGGCTATGGGCATCAGAAATGGGCGGGAAAAGAAGTCCTACACTCTACAACTCAACAATCCTCATGAGTATAGCGGTGGAGCCGTCTTCTGGTCTCCCAAGAAGGTCCGTCAGGCTCGGGACGATGAGGCGGCTCGACAACAACAACTACAACTCGAAAAAGCACAAAAAGCAGAGAGGGCTCAGGAGAAGGAGCAATCGCGACTCAACAAGCTTCAGGAGGCCGAACAGAAGCGTGTTAAGAGAGAGAGGCTCAAGGAGGCGAGGGAGAAGAAGCGAGAGAAAGAACGGGCTGAAAAAGAGCATCGAAAAGCAGCTCGCGACTCTCAAAAAGCTATACAACAGTCCCAAAACGGCAAGCGTAAGGCCTCACAAAGCTCCTCTCAAAAGCAGAAGCGTCAAAAAGGTGTTAGTGATGCTGCACGACGTGTACAAGCCGAGGTGGCTGCACCTGTCGTCCCAACTCAAACGACCCGCCAGGGCCGCACCACCAAGGTACCAAGTAAATATAAGTAGCGTAAGTTTATCGCAATAATATAATTACTACTACACTACAAAATCTCGCGATAATAGCTATTGTGGGTGGCTCTACAGCCTCATCTTTTAGTATACTAGTGTGGTTTTGGTGTTGCATTGGCTGACCTGTTGCATTGGATGCGCACGGACGGTAGTGCAGGTGGAGCCGTTCACGTCGCCCAACCACCTGCGCGAACAACAAAGGTGCGTTCGTTTGTCTCACACGCACTCTTCACTTTCACCACCTCACATCCCTACGATTCATGCTTACTATGCGCGCGTGTCCGACCAGATTTTCACCACACGCCGCTTTTTGGAAATTGCAGCTTCGCGCTCCGCCCATGTTGTTTTGCAAGCGCAAGAGACGGACGAGTCGCGTGCACGAATGCTTCCCCCAACGAGTACCGGGGGCGATGACACGCATGGAAACGAGACTGGGGCTGGAACTGATCTACTGAAAGAGGAATTGACCGATGGAGGTGAGTAGAAGGAAGGGCGGTGGGTGTGATGGAGGAAAGAGTGCTAATATTTGGCAGCTATTAACACGCTGTATGATATAATCCAGCGCGCACAGACAGCAAGTGCGGCGCTTTTATCCAACGGCCGTCGCACTTCGAATGGATCTCGCAGTGTGCCATCAACCTCGAGCGCACTCTTCCGCGCGTACGAACAGGTCCTCGCAGAGCAAGGCCTGGAGGCAGCCGACGACGCCATCCTGCACCGCTTCCTCTTCCGTATGCAGGAGGACCGCCGCGACGGCGAAGGCCTCACCAGTTGTGCGTGATAAAAAAGAGTAGTTGCTAAATCTGCTTTGCTCATTAGCATCGCCACAATCCTATCAAAACCTATCACTCACCCTGAAACGCAAATGTAGCCCTTCGCTAGAAGACACTGGTCTTCTTAAAGA